GACATGGTTCTAAAATAGAATTGTATTTAAAGTTAATATTAATATAACAATAATTATATTATATATAGTATACCAACTTTGTGAGGTAAAATTATAATGACACTACCTATATGTTGTATCCATAAATGATAAAATGTGTTTATTTTAAAAATGCACCATATTTTATTATTCAATCTTGAATAATAAAAATTGATATAGTATATTCTGGTTCTAACTCAGTTAAGTGTAAATTCTAGATACAATTTGAGGTGATGTCTTCATATTCAAATGTAGGCTTGGAGAATAATACATCATAAAATCCAGACTAAAATGATAACCAAACTTTGGTTTTTCGACATAGATATTCAAGTTAGATACATTATTATTTATTATATTGATAATAGTTTAATTCTTAATATAATGTCATACAATGGTCATTCCTGAACAATTTTTTTCTAATTTAAAATCATAATTTGAACTTTAATGGATACATAATTTATGCTCTACAAAAAATTAATGAGCAACATTTTCAATAAAAGAATCAATTGTTTACGAATCAATAAATTCTTATTTGAGTATTCAACAATCATGACCAAGTTAAACTTTTACATAATTTTCAGAAATTGACCTTCACGCATTATCAACTAGAGTTTACAGATTTTGCCTAAAATAACTAAATTTGATGTCTATATAAATAACTTAAATAATATTTACCTGTTTGGTGAATGAATAGTTATCCAAAAAAGATATTTAACTTTCCGAGAGAGGAAATAATTCACAAGCACAAGACAAATCAAAATTTCGATAGAAACAATCGCCTATAATTTCGGGAGGTATTATGTGTTTCAATGTTTGGTAAAAAATTACCTCGATGTACTAAACATCTGTTTTAGTTGTTATCTGTAACCCTGTATAAATGTCATGGAAGAATAAAATGGTAGTTACTATTTCCACTTATGGACTTAAGGTATAAACCACGGACTAAAATCTATCTTAGTCCGTGGTATAAACACAGAATAGATTAATCAGATTTAATATTATATATATTTAACATTTTAATAGCTTAGATTATATTATTATACTTGTATAATAGTTGTATATGATATATATATACATTATTATATACTTGTATATTGTTCTATGATATGATCTAAGATTAATAGTATAAGGTTTATGACAATTTCACACCTCTTTGATAACATGATTGCGTTCATAGACAATAGAAAAATCTAAAATCTTCTATAAGTTCTATAGTCTAGTTCTAGTAAGACTGTGACAGTTGTTCCACCCAGAGTAAATAATAATTACACATTTAAGTTCAACCGTTCTTACTTCTTTGTTGGAGGCCATCTTATTTGAAATTTAAAAACTAAATTTATAACCCTTAATTATTTTAACGCAATCTATTTCGCACTTTCAATCCATACCAAAAACTGGTTATAAAAATAAAATCCCTGAATAATTTGTCAAAATAAAATCATAGAAAGGGAACATAAGTGTTGGAAATCAATTAAACAATACTCGATCACTTATCATAGCGTATATTTATTGAAGTCTGCTTCAGATCCTGTTTGGATTATACCTTATTATTATTTATTACACAAAACAGTTTAATATTATCTTAATACTTAGTTGTATAAGTTTAATACAATAATCGTATCAGATATCAATGCACAAAACTCAACGAAAGTCATAAATTATACGACTTTGAAATTATTGACTTATTTTGATACATGAATAGTGAATACATGTTTGGAACAACTCATAAATTTTTTACCTGTCCATTAGGATGCAGAAGTCAGTACTAGTACTAAACCCTTTTAGTTTATGATAACATTTTAGAGGCAATTTTTTATGAATTTTTAAATCAATCGCAAAAAAAATTATTGACTTTTTGACTTCGGAAGGTACCTATGCGTTATTTTGTTCCGCATCTTACTAGTTAATGAACTGCCACTAAATTTACAAACACTGCGACAGCGGATGCGTAAAATTATGAAAACCATAATGTGTAGTAATATAATAGTTAATTATATAGAAGAATAGAACGATTGAGGTAAATAGGTAATATATTACTGGTATGCATATAACTCCGATATGGATATGATAGAACTGGAACTAAAAATATGTAAGTACGGCATGTACCATAATATTTAAACTTATTATTTCTAAGATACCTGTAAACTAAGATAACCCTGAGCCTCCAGTCTCCACACGAGTTTTTCTCAAAAAAGGCCCAGTAAATGTAGTAATCTTTCTTTTAAAAATAAAAATTTAAAAAACCAATTAAATAACATAACAAAAACATTTATGTGTGTAAACAAATTACGATTTTTAGTATAGCCATATTATATAATATATACCTATCTAGTATATAATAACGAGAATAATAATATAACTTGTAAGTTATAAGTACTTATATTAAGAAGTGTATGTCTGTGTGTCAAGCGCCAAACATGCGCCGGGCGAATCTCTTCGTCCGGCTCCATAACGAGAGGAGAGGCGTTACCGGCGGGTCCGCCAAGGGCGCACCCAAGGGGGTGGCTAACGGGCTTTAGCCCCCCCCCCCCAAATGGCTAGCCCCAAAACATATTTTATTAGGTTTATTGACAATTGACATTTGACTTTAAATTATTAAAAAAAAAAATATCAACTATCGAAATTTAAACATTAGGTATAACATAATATTATATTTAATATTTATACCTGTCATTCCGGGCCCCGGGAGAGACCTCTGTTGTTTATTATTATCGTCGCGACGTCGTTAGTTGAAACTGTGTACTGCAATACTGCATAGGATACCGGAAACGTCTAGATTATACATTTTTATCGATACAATTTAGTTCATCTCAAACCGCAGGTGTTCATATTCACAGAGAAATCGATGTTCAAACTTCAGAATTACTCTCAATAATGGGGAAAAAATGACTAAGGCGTCTCAACTTTATAAGGTTGTAAACAAGCTTTAAGATTTCTGTACATATTTCAAAATAAATACTACCTATTAATATAACAATTTTTTGAATTTAGCCCCCCCCCCCAAAAAAAAAAAACAAATTCTGGGTGCGCCCCTGGGGTCAGTTCTATTCCGAGTAATAAGAGTAATAAAATAATAGACAAGGGCGGCTCCAGGGGGAGGGGGGCTACCCTCCCAATCCGTATTTATAAATAAATGCATTGTGTTAAAAAAAAATTTCAAACAAAAAAGGCATATTATAATTTATAATATCGGCTATCATATTATGACATGCACAAGTATGTAGATAAAGGTATGACGATGTTCACGATGTACCTGCTATCTATATTATGATTTATGAAGAACCTATAAGTCTATAAATAATGGATGACTGAAGATAGACTATCACCATTATGTCTAATTAATGTGTATAATAAAGTAGATGTTCTAGATCAAATATTCAAATAGATAATATTATTAATGTTTTTGCAAATTCAAAAAAAAGACGAATTGAATTTGCATTATAAAAATTGGTGTTTTCTTTTTGTAATAAAGTTTTGTGAAATTAAAACTTGCCCCCAATAGTTTAATTTTAGGCTATATGCAAAATAGTTTGTGTTGAGTAAAATTACTAGAAAGTAGAATTCAATAACTATATCTAGGTATATAATAATAAAGAAATTCAGAAATGTACCTATACGTATAATATAATTATAGTTTCAAGTTTCAACTACACCGTAACATATAGGTACATAGTATTAAATGTTATAACTGTAAACGTTGATTAAACATAGCAAATTCAAGTAGGTACCTATATGTCTTCATTTTTAAGACTACAAAAAATGTTCTCTTCTACTAATTTATATAGGTATTTTTTTAACCTATGCTAATATGAAACACGTCATTATATCTATATACTCTAGCTGTAACTCGGCGTACAACAATGTATTAAATCATATCATTAATTTTAAATACTAATAAGACACTAGTTACACTAAAAGTCTAAAACACTAAGTTACTAACATTAATAGCAACAAATATTAATTGACTCCGTAAATTGATATTATTTATTACTTTATTAGGTACTTATTAGTTATAACTTATAATACATGCTTGTGCACGACTGTCTATCGAGTTGGCTACAAAATACCATAATTTATAATTTATAATTTGATCATTTTTTTTATTGTGTACCAATGATGGATTTAATAATGACTATATGTTTTAAAATATGAAGGGAGGCTTAAATAAAACTAAATGGTTGAGAACCTCTCTATCCCCCTCCCCAAATTGTGCCTTGCTTATTAATACCTACTTAAATGTACTCAGTATGCGGATAAAGCCAATAAAACCTGGTTGAATTACATTTTTAACTTGTCGTTGGGTCAAACTAACTTTGTGATAGATGCACCTTTAACCATAGAATTCTAAAAGCTGTTGGGCTTATATGCCAACTTTTAACATAATGTAAAACATAAATCTAAAAAAATTTTTGAACTCATCTGTACAGGCACTTAGTTGAAATATAAAACTAAAAACAATATGTGAGCTATATACAACGTTTAAATAATATATAACTTTACAATAGTATAGGTAGGTATAGTATATTTGTATTTAATTGGAAAAATAAAGTCACAAAAATTACATTATACACATTACACATAAATACATAATACCGTGTGTCCGTGTTAATCGTAAATAAATATTGTTTATAAATTATTTGATATAAAATACAGTGAATAGTGATCATTGATCATTGCTTGTATAATACATATTGCACACCTATATATTATCAAATACAACATATCATTTATATAATATTATTCATGATTAAGTACGCTTATATTATTGCAAAAATGTTTTATGTAAAACACATAATTAATAAAATATCATTACCCATAAGTAACTAACCCATGATATTAAATGCAGTGGCACCGAACTCACAAAAATATTTTGAAACCAGTAGAATATAATATTATTGGCTCGGGAAACAATTATATAATATAATGGCTAAAATTATTGTGGATACATAATATTATACATTACTTTTACACATAAATCCGTGTATTTATGGTGTCACTGCATACATCTGTAATACACTAATACCTATACCTAATACCTGCTTATGTTGTAATATTGTTTATTTAATCGTATTAAACGATATAGTTTCTATAATATTGATATTGTTTAGATTTATACTAGGTGCTGCAGCCGTAGACGTTCAGTGGATTATGGTATTGCGAATAATGTACAGAACCAGACCAAGTCTATCATGAGGCGCGGCGGTTACCAGGTAGTAAACGTTTTTGATGCGATCGGTGGCGTTAGTAATGAAATTGGTTGCTGTCGAACGGCCCGGACTGTTGTTGTTCGTACTGTGGCTCAGCGTCTTTAGTGGCCGCGGCGGCGGCGGTTGCGGAAGGAGCAGCCGCGGCGTCTCGTTGCTGAAGAAATGGTGCGTCCCGTTGCTGAAAATATGGTGCGCCTGCGGTGTCCCGTTGCTGGAGAAACGGCGGCGGTCTGTTGTACGCATGGGCTCTGAAGTGCGGTGACGAGTAGTACGGCGGTAAACCTCCAGCGGCTGAGGGCTGTCTAAAAAACTGCGACTGATCAGCTGGCTGTGGTGGATACAACGGCGAGCGGTACGCGTCCACGACGGTCGCCTGTTGTTCGTAAAGCGGCTGCTGTGCGGTGGGATAGTATGGCGGCGGTGCTGTGACGTACTGTGGTCCGGCTGGGTAGTAGGGCGCATAGTTGTACGGTGGTAGTGGTGCCCCGTCCACAGGGTATTGCGGTTCATACGGGTACTGCAGCGGCCGGTACGGGCTGCCGCTTGGCACTAGAACCGGGCCGCCCGGTGGCAGATAAGGGCCAACTGCAGGTTGGTAAGGACCGACTGCAGGTTGATAAGGGCCCAATGGTTGGTAAGGGTACGGATAAGGATACGGATACCCGGGACCGGCCACACCGCCGATGGGCACGTAGTCCTGTGAGTCCGAATAGTTGTCCGGTTTGTCCTTACGCGTGCCCGTTGGTGAGCCTGCAGTGGTACAAGGTTCTTAAAATAATGGAAAATAATGAGGTTTAAATGATTTTTGAATGGTTTGCTTTTTATGTATAATAAATAATGATTAAAACACCAATATGCACAGTGATTTGTTTGTTTGGTTTGTGTACTTGAAAACTACTATGACTTTTTTTTGTTTTGTTTAAAATAATATCAATAATAATATGGTATTCGTTAAATATTTGTTATACCTACCTATACGGACTTTGAGGTCATTTTTTGGTTAAGTTAAGTAGGTATGTTACCTACAATTTTTTTCCATACCAATCGGGTACAAGTTTATTGAATATCGACACAATTACTAACTAATTATAACTACCTATTTATTATAATTTGATACCTTAGTGCCTACCTATACCACCTACGTGTTTCGATACTTGGAACAATTTATAAATAAATATAATATCGTAATTTGTTTTTTTTCTTATAATTGAACTAAAGCCCAGAAACTATGGCCATTAGCTGTTTTTAGGGGGATTGATTGGTTTTAGAACATGTATTATATGTGCAGTGGCAAGGATTTTGTTGCTAAAAATCCCGAGTGGTCACCCATTCGGAAGGTAGCAACGCCGGGTGGTACTTACACTCGGAGCGTTTCCGCACATTGATCATACGACAGCGCCTCACCAAGCCATTTTTGTAATTTTATACTGGCGAACGAGCCGATAAATTAAGTTAAGATAAGTTAGATAATTAAGTATATAATATAAAATATATAGTCATTATGGAAGTTGACAGAACAAAGATAAGGTAGCATACCAATTATATATTATATAGGTAATAAGCCTATATTCAATATTAAAAGCGCAATACTTTTATTTTTCGTCTAATATAAGATTTAAAAAAGACTGCATGGACTTTATAAATCGTATAAAACAAATTCCAATCTGTTTTATACTTAAATAATAAATACAAATGTTGTATCACGATATAAATTAGTTATTTATCTAATATTATTTCAATACCTAATAGCTATTATATATAATAATTAAATATTATAAGTACTCCTAAAAGTTAGGCGTGGTATGAATTATGTAGTAAGGTAAACGTTATGCTTTCTATCAATTGTTATTATTTTTATATGTATTATGTAACAAAACAATAATTAATGTTTTTTAATACCATTTTTTTAAAATAGAATTTAAACAATATTTTTCAATAAAATGTTGAGTAAAACTTTTTAAATAATAAAATATGTTATAGCTTTATATTTTAACATTTAATAAAAAAAATATTATTGTTTTCCTAGACCCTATACTCTGTACTGAGTGCCTACATACTAAATTAGATAAATATGAACAAATACAATTTTTTATTTTATTAATTTGGAATTACCCATACAAAAATCTATTTACATTAATAAATAATGAAGTGGATAAATTAAAGTATTCTATAGATAGCTGCAATCAATTGAACAAGTTTATTATAATATCTATAATAGTAGTATAGTTTAATTTGTAATTATTAAAAAGATTATTTGTAATAATTGCCAATAAGGATGCTACATATACCTATTGAAGCATGAAATATAGAGAACAAATACTTTATTATAGAGAATTATAATGATAAAGATCCTATAGCGTTTATACCTAATGGCTAATACATTTATAATAAACAGTTATATGAAAAATTGGCCATAAGTTCATATGATAATTAAAAATTATTATTTTTAACTCATATCTAATGATGAATTTGCACTATTATTTTAAAAAAAGGTATTTATATTCAAAAGACTTACTTTCCGTGGCAGTGTGTTTGTTGTACTTTCTGACATTGGGCTGTACTTGCAATGTCTGGCTAGATTGGGTATTGGATACTCCTTGTTGCGTTCCACTGCAAAGGATTCCGGATATGATCACCAACAGAATTGAAAATACCTAATAGCAATAAAAGTATTTTGGTTAGTTCCAATGTTATTGTTGAAACGCTTTTATAACTAATCCGTGTTAATAATATTGAATGATACTCATTAAGCAGTATCTATAGACCTAGCGTAGACTTGAAGATAAAATATGTTTTATTATTAGTAATTACTTATTACCATGAATTGGTAGTTAAAAATATTAGCACTTTGGTGTCGTTTCCTTTCAATATTTACACTCAACACTTATTAGATACGTGTATAATGGTAACAGACTTACTTGGATCATCATTGTGTCTATAATATTAAGACTGTAGTTGCGGTGTGGTGTATATTTTCGAACTTCTTAATGAATACTGATTGTGAATGTAAATTGTACAGTGACTTTTATAGAGGTTCAAGAAGACCCAATATATCCTTCAAAGTATTTACAACGGTTTTTTTTATCGTTATTTATCATTAGACAATGAATTTGGCGTACCAATCAACCTCCAACAATGGTGTGAACCAGTCATCATCAACACATTCGAGACGGTTGTTGAACTTGAGTAGGAGGACGCGTGAACATTGCAATATTCGATGCGTATAAGGGTTCAGGATGTACCTATGTAATATGATTTATGATTAATGACACTTTTGTGCATTTGGTTCATTTGGATTTAAAATCTAATTTAAGAATCAACTGGCGATACAAAAGAATTGTTCGTGATGACTGATGACTAGTCAATAATTGTCGTGTATATTAAATTAACATTTTAATCGCATTTTTTGTTTGCATGCATGTATGCAAATGAACAACTCAACATAGAAATACCCGCTCCACGAAAATTTTACTATTAGAAATATAATTTAATTAATAATAAAATACGTTTTTTAAGTTTTCTCTTATAACAGACTCGTTTAAATAAAATTATATTGTAAGAGATGTATTCAGATGTTATATAAAATACAAGTCTTGTCTTAGAATAATATTTTTGAATAATGAATGTAGATGGCATATACATAAAAAATAAATAACTATTATAGTAATGTATCACATTTATAATATGTTGTAAAGGTATCTTAATTCTTAATAACTCAAGTCTCAAGTACTTTCCCGTAATAAAAAAAAATTATAACATAGGTGCATAGTATAAGATTACCTAAGTATGATAGGTAGGTAATAGGTATGTCATATTTTCTGGTAGTTATCATACTACATGCGTATATATTTTTGGTAAGTAGCATACTACACGAACACGAGTATACCCAATATTCATATACCAACATTTTTTATGTACATATATTACCTACTCCCTATCGTCTCTAAGGAAAATGGAGCTGCAACCTTAAATAGAAAAATTTCACAGATGAACGTGTCACTAATGAGTGACTCATTTTCTTAAGACTACATATTGTAAACATTTGACAACTAACAAAAATGTATGATTATTATACAAAAAAAAAAATTGATCGTATACTACAATTTAAAAAAAATCATGTCTTACAATATCGATATAGAAGTTAGAAATTATAATGTGCCGTGACATAATAGTATAATGCATAATATAAATATATGACCCAAAATTATGAAATAAATAAGTTAACAACTTTTCTTTATTTCTTACTATAATATTACTTAAATAAGTTATAATTCATAACTTAATATTACAATTTTTCTACCAATAATTTTACCTAGGTACCAATAACCACCAGTAAAATATTGTAGTAGGTATACAATATTATATATATATATATGTATTTATATATTATACACTTCAAAACGTAGACACCTATAAACCTATTGGACACCTGTCACGTACTCAAGAGCCTAATATAATATGTATTATACTTAAACTACGATATCGAAGATTTTAAATAAATGATGTCTATGATACTTATGTATAAGGCATAAAGATTGAAGAATTCAAAATGTCGGGCGACACATCGAAACAGAATCATCAATGATCTACACATTTTAAAACCTAAATAATTTTACTGTTAACAAGACATGATTTCTTTTACCAGCCGGAAACCAACTAAAATACCTAATCTACCTACAATCTTCATAAAGCCCTAACTAAATATATTTTAATGCTATATGTAATATGTTATAAATATTTAAAAATACATTGAAGAATTATTATTTTTTATTTAATTAGCTTTTAGTTGGTAACTATGATAGCTCGACATTTATTCAATTACACAATTATACATATACTATTGAAGAATTATAAAAGCTTCAATTTGTTATTTAATATTATAAATTATGTTAAAAATAACGTTCTCACAAATTTTCATCAAGGTGTAAAATTTAAAAATATCAATTGTAGTAGTATAATATTTTTAAGTAAGTATATTTGGCATTGGCACTCGCACTGTAATAAATCGAGTGTCTTTTACTTGTTTACCTGTAGAATATACTTATCAATAAATAAATCATCGATACATGATTAGGTATAAGCATACAAGCACAATAATGGAAAACAATTAAGTATGTATTATATATTATATGTATTTCATTGTACAATTTTAAGATATAGGCATGTACTAGACACTAGTCCGACTAAAGGTACCTACGCATTTCTAATGTTTTTTATCATTAAGAAAAATGCCAAGAGCACATAACAAAAAATGATCAATTTAATTTTTTTAATACCTGTTAAAACTATATTATATTCAATTATTATATATATAACTTATATTGTGACCATACATTTGAGTATATACCTACTTCTGATTTATGCACACTGGACTCAGACCATTGTATGTACAAACGATTTTGCGTTTGTTGACTTTGTGTACAGTCTTGGTTAAGGGTACTGACCGACTCGAACTTGACAGTTGACATTGATGTGCACAGATTATGATTACAGATGAGGTCATCTGAATACCTGTGTTGTCTTATTTTCAGTTATCCATTTACTGCTAATCGTTCATCTTTCTGCCCATTGTAATATTATGGGCAATAGGTCGTGTTTGATGTAACAATGGGTTATTGGATATTCTAATCTAGTGAATAGATCAATACAACAACTACGGGTCCACACAAATATTCATTACAATATACGTGTACGTTAGTCAAACGGATGTTGTCGAATCACGCACTTTTTTATTTTTAATAACTATTAGTGAATAATTTATTGTATTAGAGTACTTATTATTTTTATGCGCTTGAGTAAATTTAAATTTTAAAATAATATTTTGTGCTGAAAATGTTTAAACGGGTAATCGACATATTTCATATTTATCGATTTTCAGTCATTATGGATATAAATATAGATCGTATTATGAATAAAAATAAAAATAAAATACATATATTTGGGTTCTTCATTTTATATCTATTATATATTATAGGTACCTACAGAGAATATTAGAGTATAAAGTTAAACAGATAAACAGAAATCACAGCTGCCATGAAAAAATAAATCTGCTTTAATAAAATAATAAATAATAATACATAGTTTCAACTTTCAAATGCAGATTTGCAACATTTAATTCAAACCTACTCTTTATTATTTTATAAGTCAATTAATTATTACATTTTTGGCCACACAATTCTTTCAATCCATGAAATATAATTCGATACTCGTGTATACACAGCAGGTGAATCTTTTTCTCCACAAAATTGCCCTGCAAATGATGTTATTCCTATTTGTGAATACATACACGTGTAACTATTGTGTTTTATTTGAATTGGACCACCTGAATCGCCCTTAAAGATTGAAAAATAAATTGTAATTAAATAAATGTATATGATGCAAAAACGTAAGAAATACAAGTTACTTACTCCACACGTGTCATTTCCACCTTCTGGATTGCCAGCACACAACATAAAGTTATCAACTATTCCTTGTGATAATTTTTCATTTCTTTTTACCAGATATAAAAAACTTTTATCGCACTCTTCCGCCGAAATAGTGTTTATCCGTACTTTTAATAAATTTGAGCTTGGAAGTGAAGCTAAATATTTTTATTTTCATTATATTTAAAATGTATAAATGTATGTAGGTATTTATTATATAAAACTAACTAACTTACCTACATCGGTTTTTCCCCAACCCGTAGCTATTATTGCTGGAGGTCTTAACATATTATCTGTATTTAAACAAATAGGTCGTACAAATGGCGAGAAATCTACATCTCTTTCTAAACGAAACAATGCTATATCATGATATAAAGAAGTTGATTTGTAATTTGGATGTATTATGCGTTGTACTATTTTATAGTCTTTAGGTCTGGCATCGTCTGTTTCCGAGAGATAGTCGAGTTCACCTAAGCGAGCCCAATTTGCAAATCTCCTGAAAATAACTTTATTTTAATAACAGTTTATAAAGTAAAATACATTATGTTTATGTATAATATGTAAGTATTTGTGTTATGAAATACAGATTGTAAATTTTCTAAAAAAAAAAAAAATGTGTAAGTATTAAAGTATAAGTACGGTTCATCTTTATTTCCCAATTTTTCACAATGGGCTGCTGTTAATACAAATCTCCTACTTATCAGCGAACCTCCACATGCCCATGAATTAATGTCTGGTTTTTCACTATAACCCAACAATGCCTGTAATTTAAAAATATAAATACAATAACAATTAATATCATATCTTTCATATTGTCACCATGTGAGGAAATTCCTTTGGTTTAGCATCAGTACCGTTGGTAATTAAGGTAATTGCATCATAGCAATCTTTAACTTTCAGGTAATTTTCCTGATTTGATATCAATATTGGGTCCTTTATTCTATGATAGATTAATTCTGAATACTCACTGCACACTATATGTGTGAGATAAAAATAAATAAAATAATTATTAAATGAAGAATTATATTTTGATGTTTTAGAACATACTTTCCGTGGCAGAATATGATTTCATAACTGGATTTATACTTGGTTTTTTCGTTGTGGTAGTAGTTGGTTGGTGGGTATTTTTTTCTGGTGGACAACAAACTATTGGAGTTGATCCGTTGAATGAGCATAGTTGAGGTATAATGTTTTTCTTAAGTCCTTCCTTTGCAACTGGACACCTTTCAATATTCCGACAAATAGAGTCGGGAGTTTTCCCATCGCCTTTTCGACAAATTTCATCTACATACATCAATAGTATATAAATAGGTACATGTTTCAGTTTATTTTGATAGTCAATTTTTTATTGATATTGCAGTTATTTGTTAATACTTTAATATAAAATGACAAAAATCATAATAAATAATATTTTTGAATTACAAGTTACAGCGAAATAACTAAAAACGTTATTTTTGGTTTTAATATGTAATTGAATTAAAATATGAACTTTAAATGTCTGTAAAAAATAACTGTGCTTATATAATTTTTAGATCTTTTGGTTATGAGAATTCTTGTTTTAAATTTTCAATTCTTAGTTATAAAAATCGAACATTTTATTAATTTTATAATTTTTCTACTAGAAAATAATTTAAACACATTCGAGATTTTGATAAGCTTTGTCAAAATTTGAACTTTAAATACTTAACAAAAAAAGCATTTTTACAATTTTATTGACATTTATAGAATATAAAACTAAAAAAAATCAAATTTTAACTATAAAATTATGAAATAAACTTTTGATGAACATTTCAAGTACCTATCTACGGTACTACAGTTTTTATAAGACAACAAAATAAATATTATGCCTGTAAATAGCTCAAAAATCGTAAATAACTGGCCATAAGGAAAATTAGTCATTTTGCGATTCAATAATTTCTATTTGTAAACAGCTTTCGACATCATCAACATCAACTGTAAAAGGCTTCAAGAAAAATTTAATTTTTAAATCAATGTAATACAAATTAAAAAATCTGGTTGAAAATTAATTTTGTGACTTTTCAAAAATTTTACTTTTACTTTTTCCCAATTACATTGGTTAAATGTTTCCATATCATAGATTTTATCAACATAAATATCTTAGCTTGTGGTTTTTATACAAATTTTAAATTTCAGTCGCGGGTAACATACAATTTTCATTAGGTTCTCGGGTTGCCGATACCCTGGTCTAGATGATCAACAAACATCATGGAAATAGTAGACAAATAAATTATCGGAATTACATTACAGTAGAGCCTCGACAGTCCGGACTCCCGATAATCCGGCGAACGCGGTAATCCGGACGTCAAAATTCCAGGTTAAGTTATGAAAATTAAAAGTATTGTTCAGAAAAAAATTACCGATAACTATACTTCAGTTCTTCACACATATTATTATAAACATTTTTTTTTTGTAATTCATTAGTTTATTTTTAATTTAATTTAATTATTATTCTTGTAATTTAAAATGTAATAAATATAAAGATGGTGAAATTAAAGTTAAATCTTAGTCATTTGAGTAGGTAGTTTTGAAAAACCTCCGGTAATCCGGAAAATCGATAATCCGGACGATGCTCGGTCTGAATTCGTCCGGACTATCGAGGCTCTACTGTATTATTTTTATAATTTTACATTGAAGCAAAACTTTAAACTACACATAACTTTGGCTTATATTATGGCCAATTTCAAAGTCAAAAACATATCAATAAAAAATTGTTTTTTTTTTAATATTTTGAGTAGGTACAGTTCACATAATTGTTGATCGGTTTATAATTAATACTGCCAAATTGTCACTACATTTCTTTAACATATTCGTTTATTGTTTATAGCGAATAATGTTATACTTAAAATAAATGAAAATGAAATACGATAATGTGTAATTAATAACTAATAAGGTTGATCGTACGTGTCACGGTATATAATAAAAGTATACCTATAATGGAAGATTAAAGTATAATAGTTTATATTTATATATATTTGCTCCAATGATTTCTCAAAAGTACAATCTGCTTTTAATTTACATTTTATAAACAGGATATTTTATATTATATAACTCTTCGGTCCGGCCCAGACCAAGAAACATTTGTCGGACATAGTCGTGGATAAAAATTCTTGTTACCACTTATGACGGGAAATCGGAAACATTGTCGTCGACAATGTCGGGAACACGTGTTTCAGACAAATTTTTCTTTGGTCTTAAAGGGGCTTATACTCAAAAAAAATAAACATTGTCGTAAGACCAATAGGTCCATACTCCATCCATAACTATTTCCGCCTTGTGTCAATAATTTAAGAATTTAGACTGTAGTAAAAATAACAAAACGTACCTTCATATAATCCTAGTATTTGTGCATTGTATCCCAAATTCACAAAACATAATAAAAACACTGTTAAAAAACATTGTAAGTTTGTGTAAGTTCTCATTATTTATAAAATAATTTAAATGTATTATTTGAACTAAGAGTTTATTGATATTTTTGTTTTAAATAAAACACTAGGTATTTACAGAATACAGATTTACAATTTGTTGAAGATTTTAAATTAGTTCATTATACAGTAGGTATACACAAACACACTGATTTTAAACCCCACTTTGCTATACTGGTTCTTGACCATGGAATGCAATATTATAACTTATACCTAACTTAAGAATATTTATATTGAGTAATCGAGGTCACATGCTCACATATTATAACAACAAATTGATAATCAGTGGGTGGAAAAATTACATTAATTTGTTTATCAACTGGTCACCATTGGGCTTATTTTTATTGGTACATTTTGAACTGTTGTTGGAGAAACGAATGATTGTATCCGTTATTTTTATTTATCATTCAAGCTGAAAAAATAATTTCTTAATTTTTAAGTGAAGTAAAGGTAAATATAAAAGTGTCCCAATATAACCTATGAGTTACTAATAATTATTATTTATATTCTTAATAAAGGCATGCATCGTTTGTCTGAAAAGAAACTTGGATTATTTTTGAGAACCATTTAGCAACTTATTAGCATTACTTAGAAGACCTTGCCTAAATATCCATAATTTCGTAATTATCATTTATCATCAACACGGATTACTACGAAAATACGTCATAACAACCATCGTCATAATTTATAAGTAAATTATAACAATAACACTCTGAATATAATAAATCATGTAGTTAATGGAAAAATGTAAAATGTTGAAACCTGTCAATTATAATAGATGTTTATTAAATATTTAATTATTAGGCATTAACATATTATATACATAGTAACATTATCATGTTGTTATAACATGTCTTTAACTTTCAACAAGCTTCGCATAGAAAAACAAAAAAATTATGAGCAAAACAGTTATATTAAAATAAACAGTATTTAATGAGTATTATACTCAAAACTCTGAATGTATATTTAATAATTTGATTGTTAATCATTCGTAGACAATTTATTCATGAAACAGATCCATAATATTAATAAATAATTTGGTACCTAATGGTTCTTAGTTAAAAGTTAAAACATATATTTATTAAAGACTCAGAGTGGTTTTACATAATGATGTGTTTTTTTAGAATTTGAGTGAATCGAATAATTGATTTCACTATGATAAGTATGTCTTTATTTCGTCAGCATTTCCACTTTTTGGAGAAGTAGAAATGCGAATTCAATACCATCAACGAGTGTCGAATGATGTAAACGTAAGGTCGTGAGCATTTCTATTTCAATTTCTCCATAAGGTGTCATATCCGAATTGTGGAAAAAAAATCCCCTCACTAGGAAAAAACCCCAGTAGCATTAAACTGAGGATTGACTAGATATAAATAATTTATTTTACAAATTATATATTAGAAATAAACTAAACAAGTTGTATAATATGTTAAAAATTGTAATTTTATAAAAAATTGTTTTATACCTTATCTTTATAATATTGTAACATAACAATTTTTTACATAATACACAACATTTGTTTTTTATTGTTTATTATTATTATAAACCTAGGTATCGTGGCTGACTAGGTAATATATATATATATAATCACTTATGTAAAATTATACTACCATCACATTTATTATTTACATTATGATTTATACACAATAATTATTTATTATTATTATTATAAGCTACAGTATCGTGGCATGCACTTATATATTTATATATATAGTAATCTTGGTAATATTGTATTTTTAAAGGGTATAAGACAATTTGTTTATAAAATGACAATTTTTAACATAGTATACAATATTTATTTTATTTCTTATATACTCGTATAATTTGTAAAATAAATTATTTACACTTATAGTCAATTCCCGGTATAATGATACTGGGGATTTTTTTTCCTAGAGAAATATTTTTTTTACCGAGACTTTTTTCCAACTACAGTCACATCCATGGCTGTCTCGAACAACAATTCATGGGGGGGGGGGGAGTAGACCTAACAATTTGATGACTCAAAAATTTGATCTACCTTCCTTTTTTTTGAAGACAATTTTCTTAGGCATCCCGGATAATAAATGATTATTGTTTGGTGTTATGTGATCTCAAAAAGTTTAAGAAACACTCAATATTATAGTACCTTGTACCTACACTATGTGACTATATGTAAAATTGTAAAAGATGTTAAAAAAATGTTTTATGCCTACTTTATCAATTAGATTTATTGTTTTGTCCAGTATACTAGTGTTATGTAGAAGCCCCCCAGGCCCCAAGAGTTCAGCTCTTGATCTGTAACTGATTAGTCATTGGCTCATTGCAGTGATCTATTCAATGAAGTGAAGTACAATAATTGACATCTACTATACAGCAGTGCGAGCTCTCCGATATTTTTTTGTATCGGTCAATTACCTACTCATTCCGTTATAGTGCAGGACAAATTAAAAAACGTCAACTTTAAGGGTGATAGGAAATTACATTTAAGGACAACACACACTGCGGCGGTGGCGGTAAATTGTGAACGGACTCATTTTAACGCTACCGCCACAGTTCCGCTGCAATGTGGGGAGACCTTTGGTTAGTACTTAGTACCTACTGTTTAAAGTTGTTTTTTTTTTATTTTAAATATTATTATATACAAGATTACATTTTTCCAAAAACTCCTCTATAGTTAATCTATGTTTATTAAAAACAACAATATTATGGTTTAACTAAGTTTCTAAAAACGCAGAATATTCAGTAAGTACCTACCTAAGCATTGTAATCAAATCTGAAACAGACATTTGCTTGGTTTTTTTTAGTAACAATTTCATCTAGTAATACACGACATGAAAAAATGGAATTAACGTTAATGGACTAATAGTAAACAATATTATATTATATTGGTATTTAGAGTATTACTATATTAACGCAATTATAATTTGTTTTTTTAACAGTTAACATTCATTACTTATTATCTCCGAATATTAATATTATAATAATATAATAATATTTTTTCTATACCTATAATGTACGTACATCAGCAGCGTAAATATGAAGTCAATTAATAATCAATAGTGTGTTATAGAATGCTCAAGTCGGTCTTTTTTTCGTGTTCTCTGGTTCCAGGAACCAACCTACGTATATTTAATAACAATTAACCATTAACGAAGGACAATTGATTGTTAGTATCGATTGCGCTGTATGATTGTACATTTGTACGAACACCGTGCAAACACCGACGGTATACGCAAACGCAATTTTGAGCACATGCGCACGCTCCTGAAATGGATAATCCACTATCGAGTCGAGTCGTTATGATGAGTTGATTTTTGACGCCTACCGAGCGGCATCATAGACATATTAAGACTAAGACATTAGTATGCTACATTATAATATACCACGGACTTCGAATCAATCAAGTGATTTGCGCGGATCTTGTATTCTTATATTAGCAGACAGGGTCATTCACCTGTCCTTTTAAAGTGTTAACTAACCGGCATCCGCGATCCGCCTTGCTACCTAAAAACACAATAAAAATAATATCAACCATAATAAAGATAAACAAAATTATCGTTCTATAGCCGCACGGACCAAGATATACCTTAGTCCATGATAGCCGTTCTAGCCTTCTAGGTGCTGTTATCAGTATTCAATAGCCTAGTCCGCCCTTCCAAGTGATAAAGTAAATAAGTATAATATTTTTAGCCTAAACAGCTATTACTGAATTACACACAACACTAACGACTTAAGTGCAAAACAAAAAAATATTCTATAATATATATCATTACTCTTTACACTTTAGGTATTATCTATTTTTCTTTTTTTTCACATTTACGTGGATTCCGAGTTCCGACTAAGACACAAAGTTCTAATATTTTTGTAATTAATGACTTTTTAACTTAACTCGGTTTGGCTCGACGAAGTGGGTTCTTAACTGATTCTTGTAATTTACAAAAGTTCATCATCAACGTTATAAAGGTACATATTTTATGCCGATATCGTGAAAAATTTACGGGTGTGTTCCACTTTCACGTTCCACCAAGTCTTTACAAATGACAGGTCATCTCGTTACTTAAAGATTAAGCTGGTAAGTAAATAATACTGTATAGTGTATTGTGGGATATTGTATTGTACTATTGTGTATACTTCATTATTGTATTTTTATATTTTACTTTATTAAATCTAATTGAGAAATAAACATGGACACATCATGGTTCTACTACTAATTTTCCTATTTTGAATTCAGTATTTTTTTTCAATAGAAATTTGGATAGTAATATTATTATTATTATTCGCTTGCTCAATGTATAGGCATGTAGGGTTCATTACAAATTTGCTTAAATATTTATTATTTTATTAAGATTTGTTACTATTTATACGAGCACCTATAGGACAAAAACATGTACACGTGAGGCGTAAGCTATGCAAGTGCACCTCTTGCGGACTTACGGCCTGGCAGTGGCTATTTTTTCTGATTTTCTAGAGTGCTCACTATGCTGTATGTTTGCCTCGTGGATATAAATATATAATATAAGTAAATAAGTTTGTAATAAAATATGTTATTGAATACCTATTATTTTTTTATTTTTATGGTGAATGGTGATGATTATATTCTTTCATTCTTTCATAAGTTTTGAGGTTCTCATTGTTCTACGGTTTTATTTACTATTCATAATAAATAATGACCAACACATAATATTTTGTTGTTCAAAAATAGGAAATTTACAAAATAAAGTATAATTTGTTGAAAAAAAAAATATTTTTACTGAAACCAATTCCAAGCATTTTCAATATTTTGTATTAGAAAAGTTTGATGATGGCAAAATAGTAGAAGTAGGTAAATAGTAAAAGAGAAACTACCTGCGAGCAATGTCTAAGCATGCCTATGCTATACATACATCTCAAGTATTAACAATTACTATTTGAATACAAATATAACTAACTTTTATTGCCTTCCTATGTAGTCTGAGCTTAACTATTATAGATTTGCTGTGTATTCTATAAGCCTTTTTTCAAGTATAAATTATTATCTTAACATCATTTTTTTTACTGAAACTGAAGAACCTGGTGTGCGTAAATATACTTTGTTGATTGATAATATTAAAAATAGTGATATTGCTATTGTACTGTTGTTTTTAATTGTATTGGAAAATTATTATTTAAACCATTTAATTTCTCATTACCTAATGTATTGATGCAGTTCAAATTATTCCAAAAATAAAAAAAATTCAATTTTGTATTTATATAAATTTATTAGCACAAAATTGATGAACTGAATAAATGTTTTATTCAATACAATTTTAACCTTATCTATTCATTTTTAATTTTATATTATTGATTAGTTATAAATATTGTATACCTATCTACCATATACGTATAATCAAAATAAAGTTATAAATAAAAATATATCCACAAATTAATTCATTTTTACTATTCATCAATTTTTCTATAACACAAAAGGGTTAGCTAAAATTAGTAATTTATAGTTAGCATTGCATTGTAATAGTTTTTAACTCTGTTAATTACATTGAAAAATCATACAAAGTAAATATAGATAGCATATAGGTACCTAAATAACCTATCTACTCAGTATAGTTAAAAAGATAAATAAATAATTTATTGACTATTGTTACTTGTATGAATAATTTATCTTAAGAAATGAGTATTATGTATTAAAGGAAAGTTCTTTTGGATTGCCCTGTATTTTTTTATTTATATCTGCATTGATTTATTTTTAATTAATTAATAATAATAATTTATCTATTTGAAAATCAAAAATCATGCATGTAGTCTGTTCAGAATGAGATCGGCCACCTACTGCTCATGGGCGTGACTTTGTACTGATCTCATTTTGAACTGACTATAGCTGTTAAGTTTCATATAAAGTATACAGATTTGCTATTCCCATATAAGCTTATCTTGTGCTTGGAAGTTTTAATTTGAATTCAGTTAGTGACAATTAAAAATGTATTATACTTATTACATATTATTATATTTATTATTATTCATAAATTTATTTGAAAAATATCAGCATTATTTAAATACAATTTTCGAGCATTTGTATTATAAAAATTATGAATGTTAATTCTAAACAGTCTACACTCTACATAGTTTGAGTGCCTTTGAAAAAGAACTTTTCAAGCCAAAATATTTATGGTACAAAGGTACATTTAAATTAATATTAGATTTGTAACATGTATTAAAAATATGGTTAGTGTCAACAGTGTTAATTCTAAATATATAAAGGGGTATGAATAATTTCCTATAATGCAAACTCTTTAAGTACATTAAAAACAAATTGTTTTAAGAGGACGTCGTACCCACATGTGTTATCTCCGTCTTAGACATGTATGAAATAGCAAATTTCCATTCACCAGTTTCAATAGTGGGCAGTTATTTTTGATATTAGAGTGAATTAACCTATTATAAAATTTAAAGTCAAGATCTAGGGTAAGTTGTGACTTTTTTGAAACTGTACATTTTAAAATTATCATAACCTACTTAAAAATAATAATATCAATAAAAGCCTGAGCGATGCCCTAGATTAGAGGTATTTAAACTGTACGTCGCAGCTCCCAGGGCCGCCGCGGGAGTTCTCGAAGGGAGCCGCGTCCTATAATTGTAAACCAATAAATATTTTTATGAAAAACATTTATGATTATCATTGAGGCACATCAGCTTTGAAAAATTTAACACCTTTTGCAACTTTGCACTAACACAGCGGGTATGACGCCTTCTTAATAACTGCAATAAAACTGTAATATAAATCTCTTATATTCTGAATAGAGATAGAAGCTAAAAATTAAATTAAATTAATCACAATATGCCATAATATATTGTTTTTAATTGAGATTGAATAGGCCTTAGCTTATTGGCCTTTGCCTAAGTGGTTTGGCAATTCTAAGCATCCATCACAATATCCATTTAGGTATAGAAAAATTGTTGGATAAAATAGCCAGTTACTGAAACCTGCTAATTAATGGATATTATTTTGTAATACCTATAAAAAATTGAAAACTCTACACCAAATCATGAAATATTTTAAGTAAAAACATAGCTTATAAGTGGTGTACACTGTACAGTGTACCTTACTTACACAAATGTTAAATAACAAATTAAGGAACCCGGGAGAGACTGTTTACTATACAATATACATACCTACATCTGATGTGCACAATTTTTTTCTGATATCACCCCTATCTAACCTAACAGTTACTTATATTTTTTAGCTTTAATTTTTTAATATTACTTCGATTTTGAATACAATTAGTATGGTTCATATTAGAATAATTTATAATGCTAAAATGCTCTAGTTTGTCAAAAAGCATTGTATTACTTGGAGTTTTCATATTTTATTGGAATAGGTTGCTTATGTATAATGTTGGTATTATATAAAATACACTGATCCATTAAAAAAGTTAGAAACAAACTTTTTAGTAAACTTTTGTTTATATGAGTATTAAAAACATGTGTTATTTTATTGTGTTTTGTTTTTGTATTTTGTTTCAATTAGGTTCTATGTATTAAGATAATTATGGTAAAAAAAGTTTCTAAATCCAATTGGGATGCAGAGCCAGAAATCGGTGAACATGAAGTCAGATATGCAGGTCAATATTTTTAAGGAAATTAATTAAATTAATTATTGGTAATAACTATATAGATAACTGTACTGTAGTATACTATATTATATCATAGGTACTAAGATAAAATAAATAAATATTGTTATTTCTTGTATTATAATAAAATTTACTTGGTAGATATTTTGATGATAATAGAGTTAGGTAACTAATTATTTATTTTTATGGCTATGAATTTAAAACTAAGCAAATATTAAATTTAATTAAGTAATTAAAATGGGCCAACTTATTATTTTCATTAGATTTAAACTAATAACCAACAAGTTTTATAAAACGTGTGAAATATTAATTTTGTCAATATTGTTGATTCTTAAACTGTTTGGCAAATTCACGCAAATGTACTTAATTTATGTCTATTTTTCAGTCTATAATTAATAGAAGAGTGACTAATTTTAATAAGATTTAAAATTGATTATTGCTTTTAAAAGAATATACAAATATTTTTTTTGTTATTCTTGTACAAATAATAAGTGAATAATAGCAAATACTAAGTAGGCAGTAAAAAAATAATTATGATAACTTAAAATGCATTTTTAGCTTTAACACTGAGCCATTATAAATTATGTTAAAGATGCTATCAAGTAATTATTAATTAAGTTACTAATTAATTACAGATAACAATTTTGATTAATATTTTTATTTTGTAGCATATGTTACCAAATCACCAAAAAGATCTAAATTATCACCTGAGGAAAGACCATTTTTGCCATATGGTAAGAATATATTTTTTATAATCAATTTTTTTGTTTAGCTTTTCACAATTCTATTATTTTTTTTTTTCTTTTACAAGGGGTTGGACCAGTTGTTGACTGCGAAATAGATGATGATACTGGAAAACCTGATTATTTAAGTAAGAATAAATTGTTAAATTACAAATATATTATATAAATTACCCATTTAATAAAACAATTCTTTAATAATTTAAAGGTTATAGTCTAATACCAAAAGAGAATAAAGAAACAGTAACTAAAGGTAATAAAATAATAAGTACATAAACGTAACTAAGTGAAATAATTTTTAAATGTGTACTTATCAAAATACTTTTTAATAATAACATATTTTATGTGATTTTTCTTATTATAGAGCAAACAAAAGAATCAAAACAAACTAAAAAAAATCTAAATTCAGAATTATCTCTTGATCATGTGTAAGAATTCTATTATTAAATTTATTTAAAATTCATTAAGTATTAATAATATTAATGATAATTGGTATTATAATTTGTGTGTAGTTATAAAGTAATACGTGAATTAAAACTACCAACATTTCAAAGGATTATAAAACAAAACAAGTTTGAATTAATCCGAATAGCAAAACGTCGTCCAGATCGGGTAAATTATGTCAATTTTAATTCAAAATAAAACCGATTAAGAGGACGTTGTACCCGCAAATCCGCATATGTTGTCTCCATCTTACTAATGCTAAACGCATAATATACCAAAATGTACATCCAGCAGTTTCAATGTTGTGTTGTTAGCTTAAATATTAGAGTGAATTGACCTATTATCAAACCTAAATGTAAGAACATTATTAGTGGTCGCTTGTTGATTTTTTACAATATTTTAATTTTTAAGTGAATTATGACTCATAATACTATTAAATGTTATTGATTATTGACTACAAACTTATAAAATTCCATAAAATAATAAATGATACTAGTCCTCTGTTAACTATTATATACTAATAAATAGGGCTCGGAAGTTGTAGGAATTGCATATTGTTCTGTATGATCTCAATTTATAGCAGACCTAGTTAGAAATTTGAAATATACAATTGCGAGTTAAAAAATTGAAAATTGAAAATGCATATTTTGCATATTTTTCCAATTTTAGCTAAAAAGTGCATATTTCATTGATTTTATACACATATTATGCATATTTCATATTTTTCTAGAAAAATTGATTTTTTTTTTTCTTAACCTGTATATTTCAACAAATATTGAATATAAAACTCAAAATGACCAACGAAGGTATATATTGTCATCGCCATAGTCAATTTTATAAATATGCTCCGATAACTTCAACTATCGTTGAAAGATTGTTTTCTCGATATAAAAATCTTCTATCGAATAATCGTCGTTCATTTGAAATAGAAAATCTTAAGAAAATATTGGTGGTTCAATGCAATAATTTAACAGGTATTAGAAAACATGTATTTTTTTTCGTAATTTAAAAAATTATTTTCAGCTCAATAAGATGTCAAAATGCCCACCAGTTATACTTTGTTTTTGGTTATAAATAATTTTTATCTATATGATTAATTTGTGAACAACATCTGATGTATTTAATTTTTGGAATTCTGAATAATATTTTGCATATTTAACATTTTTAATGCATATTTTGCAATTTTTTTGTGCATATTTTACCTTTTTTAGCTCCTACAACTTCCGAGCCCTACTAATAAATGTTATTGGTTATTGACTACAAACTTATAAAATTCCATAAAATAATAAATAATTTTACTAAATATGCATTTTTATGCACAAAAAACATGAATATGCAAATTTTAAGAAAACTACCAATATATGCAAAAATATGTAAATATGTATGCTAAATACCAAATTTCAATTCATTAGGTTATAGAACAGATTTTTAGCTCACCTAGCTATAAATAGGAGATATAGAAAAAAATATGCAAATCCTATAACTTCTCATCCCTAATTATGAGGATATTCAAATTTTGATTATTTACATACTCATAACTTAAAAATTAAAGTATTTTAAAAAACCAACAAAACAATACAGATAATGTTCTTACATTTATGTTTGATAATAGGTCAATGAACGAAAACAAAACAAAGTACATGTTATCAAAAGGAATTAGTAGTAGAACAAATGAGATTTGAGGAGGTGGTAACTTTTAAGTAACTTGGAGTGAAGCTAAAAACTACCAGTGGCGAAGATGAAGAGGTACAAAGGAGATGAGGAGTGAGAAAGAGAGGATAAGTGGGAGCAGCAAACAGATGCTTTGAAATGCTGACACCAATCTTCAAGTCAAAAATCCTATCAATAAATTGAAAAATAACAATGTACAAAGTCCTCGTTTGACCAATTGCATTATATGCCTGTGAGTTGTGGCCGGGTGTGAAATTGATGAGAAAAAGTTAGCGGTATTTGAGAGAAAAATATCAAGTCAAATTATTGGCCCCAAAAAGGATATGGGGACTAATGAATACGAGCGTAGAACCAATGATGATCTAAATAGGTTATACAATCAGCCGGATATAATAGCAATAATAAAAAGCAAAATTATTGGATGGGCAGGACATGTCTGGGAGAATATTGCATAGTACAACTTCACAGATACCAGATAGGAAGAGATCCTTTAGCGTTTCCTTTTGGACAGCGTTTGTATGAACGTGTTCATCAGGATCTACATTTATAAGGAGCAGGAAATCAAGAAGAGATTGCAAGAGTCAGATAAAGATGGGAAGATGTAGTTGTTGCGGTTAAGGGCCTATATAGCTTATATATTTTGGTCAATTCACTCTAATATTTAAGCTAACAACATAAAATTACAACTGCTGAGCGTATTTTTTGAAATATTATACTTTAGTAAAATGGAGACAACACAAGCTGGCACAATTTCCTCTTACAATATGGGGTCCCATTAACTGGAAACCATAATTTATATCAAATATTCGTCCATTCCAATCAGCATACCAGTACATCACTAACAGCTTTCTCTGTAAGTATAGTCACACTTCATCAGTCCAAAAACTTATTAAAAGCAAATTAATAGGATGTCTTTTATGCTGTAATCTTTTACAATGTCACCATACACATTAATTGATCAAGAGATTTGCACTAAAAACAAAAAAATAATTAGGAAGATAGTTAGTCTGGATTCATCACAAATGCTTAATTTTTAAAGAAATCAATATGAACAATATGTGCATACAAGTTGTGTAATTGTTTGCGATGATCATTAGTGTGAGTGCACCACTTTTCATGATTTGTAAACTTTTGTGTAGAAATGTTCAAGTTACAACCATGCTGTGGTGGTTTTTTTTCTACTGAAAGTATGTACTTAATATGCATTATACATTTATATTTTTGAATTTGAAAACATTTGAGTTTTTCATTAATTTTAGTTTAAATAACTTTCCCATTTTGTAAATTTATTTATTTTTATTCTATGAAATAATGGTTTGAATTCTACAAATTTGAATAGATTGTTAATAAGCTAATTAGGGAGATTAAACATTAAAATTCTAAAAATATGAGGAGTCTACCTCTAGTAAATATTGATAAGTTATATTTATTACTGTTTTGTCATAATTGTGATACCTGTGTAATTTAAAAATCAACTGTTATGGATAAAAATACTTTGGTCTTTCTATTCCCTATTAAAACTCATTATAAATTCCCAAAATGAACTCAAAGACTTTTTATTCATGATCCTATAATTTATAATTTGGTTCCATTATAACTATTATTTTGAATGTTTTATTTTTATTTTTAGCACCATATATATGTAGCAAAACTTTTGTTGAGAACAATATTTAATCCTGTTCAGAAAGTTTGGATATATTCACAAATAAGGGAAGTATTAAATATCCCTCCACATGAATTCGCAGTGAGTAAATTTATTTGAAATTTATATTGATATGATTAACCCTTTGACTACTGCATCAAATTTACTCTATTGACTATACTTTTTTTTTTATGGGATATTTCCATGTTGAAAAGTTTATAATATAAATAAGAAAGCTTAAATTTGAAAATAGTAGTCAAAGTGTTAATAATCACTAATGACATAATTTTTAATTTGTTTTATTTAGAGCGTTAAATATGTATACACGGTGTTAGCACCAGAAGTAGCACTAATGGTTTTAAAAAATAAATTTAAATGCTTTGCTAAAATATGTGATGAAAATCAATTGAATGCTTTGTCACTTTTGAATAGTACATTTTTTGATGACCGATTTAAAAAAGATTTACACTGTCGAACCTAAGAAAATTATAATGCATTATAAATTGTATATACCTATTGTGTCCTTTTTTTTTTTATCATTTATGTAAGTGATATGTAGTAAATGGGTGTTTATTTATTTTTATAAAATGATAACAATTTTAATTTTAAGTGGGGAAGTATATTGATTTTTATTAGAAGTGCTCAGGAAGCATATTTGACTAATTTAGTGTGAAGACTGAACGTTGAGAAATAATTAATTATAAAGGCTAGTAATTAAATTGATGTCCTTGAAAAATGTTTACATTAATAAATGTGATTATTATGTTTGTATAAAATAATGTGTTTGAAATTGTTATTGTTATTATAATTTATTATTCTTGAGTAAAAACTTACCTATCAAAACAGTACATCTACATTAAGTATTCGAAATAATAAATTATATTTGTAAGTTGTAAAAAAAACATATTTATTCATAGCTCATATGAACAACAGACGTAATTATTGGTTTTTACTTCAATGATGTGTGTTTTTTATTATAAGTTTTTTTTTTGCATTTTCAGGCAGAAAAAATTTAAATCTCTAACATTGGTTTCTGGTAGGTACCTTCCCGGCAAATTAAATCTAGTTCAGACTTAAGGGTTAAGATTAGGTTAATAAAAAGAAAATTCTCAATACTCAGGAAAAAACCTTTCAAATTTTTTTTTTGTTGTATTTCAAAAGGAATAACCATAGATTTTCATTAAATATTTACAATACCTACAGCTTTTAAATACAATTTTCAAATAATCTCGACTGAGGACTGAGCTATATTTCTAATTTATATATACAATTTTTTTAGTTGACATTTGAAGTTCAAATTTTAATATAATTTATTGGTTGAGTTATTTACTAGTTCCTATCTAGGTGTATAATATTTGTATATACTACCTAGCTAGTGGCTATGAACGAAATTTCTTCTATCAACTTAATATCGACAAGGGCCGTGCTCATCGGTGGGATGAGGGTATCATTTACGCATATCCCCTTAGCATATTTTTGTCATATAAAATATATGACAAAGCAATGAATGTATGTATAACGTGTTCTGAAATAGTCAAAAATGCATTCCCTTTCAAAAAAGCTAAACACGCTATTATTACCTCGTAAAAATACGAACCGTATATACTATATACTAAACCGATACAATAATAATGAATCATTCTTACTTATTTTGAAATATGTTATCCGTCCACTCATCAATAAGCATCGTAATAATAAATATAAATACAAAAAACACGTACATAAATAGTTTATTGAAATTGCGTGTTTAATAAAATCACATATAGGTAAATAAATTATAATTATTATTGGTCTTGTAAGTATCGACAGCACCTACCTATAATATTACTAAGAAAAACAGATGGACAACTGTGTGTGATAACTTATGGGTGCTGAAGAGATTTATTTCGATTTTGGTTTCATCTTCATTAAAATTTCCATCAACGTAGTCGCGCGTTCCTTTAGCTAAGTAAAAAACAATAATATAAGTCTATGTCTAAAATCAAATATACCTTCATAGGTATACTTCAAGGTAAACTTGATTTTACTTACTGCTGGCGATTCCTTAAAAGCACATATAGCAAATTGTTCTGCGAGATCGCATTTCTCCGTCCCTTTGACTTCATGAATAAAAAAATGATGTATTAAAAATATTGATTAATCATAAGTATATAGTACTTATTCATTAATAACTAATAAGTGACAATAGGTGTATGAAAACTTACCATTTTGGCATTTGTCGTAAATATGTTGCAATTGACTCTTAATACCCGGATTATTGATACGGTTCACGTATTCGAGGAACTTCGCAGGTTCTGGTTGCCCCGAAGAATTTATCTATTGGAGAACAATTGCATTACCTATTATTGATAACGTATTAACCTATTGAGTGTTAAGTATAGACTACCTAAACCTATGTTAATAAAAAAAAAAAAATGTAGATTTAATGGTATTTCGACATTTCGTGTATTCTGTGTACCTATATTGGCTTGTAAGTTTGTTGTACAATACTGATTGTTTAGTAATTATTAATTTTCAACGTATAGTGCAAAAGCGAAAACCATGAGGGGACTTATCCTCCTAAAAGTTCGACAGATATACTTTAGTTCCCCTAAAATTAGGTAAGTATAGTGAGATTATTTTCGCGTCCAACTATATATTTTTGGTAGTTCTGTATATATGAAATAGAAATTACGCATTTAAGCCTAATTTTTAATTTGTATAACATTTTAATTCTTAAAAAAAAACTGAAAAGAGGATTTGAAAACTTGAATTTTTTTGCAAATTTGTACCGACAATACTGACTACCGATTGTACCTACAAATTTCCGGGTTTGCTATAGTTTCAATATACATACATAACATGGGGAGTTATTTTAGGTCAACTTATCTTCTTTCCATCGAAAAAAATGTATACCTAAATTTTTCCTGATATGGTTCTTGTGCTGGCACGCAGCCAAGAGTGTTTTCATGTGTGGCCAATATGTTTTAGTCTCTTTCTGCTAGGTTTATCCTCCCCAATTAACACAAGTGGTCGACTGACAAATATTTATACATATAGGTATAATACAATTTTAGATTTTTTGTGCATCTATTAGTTATAAATTATAATATATCACTTTGCCAGTTATACTATATAATGTTATAAAGAGGTGAAATTGTTTGTTTGTACGCAGGAGATCATCTTAGAAACTACTACACCAATTCTAAACATTGTTTACCCTATCCCTGAGTAACATAAGCTACATTTCATATTATTTTATTTTGATAACTTCGTTATTTTATTTCGACGCTAATACTTTATTTTTGGGTCAAAATTCAGGCCAAATAAGGCATTTTAAAAACAAGTTGGTGCTAATACACCTCCCCCCTCCTCAATGACATCCACGAATTTACATCCCTTCAAAAGTAACTCGGGAGATAATCATAAAACAATAATATTATTTTAAACATCTTACATACCAATCCAAGTTCTTCCCCGGCACACGCCATGTGACACTATAACAAGTATAAATACTCATATTAGTATATAATTATTATGTTGAGCAAGGAATACAGTTGGAAAAACGAGTAAAATATAAAATGATATTTAATTGTAATACGTACTGTACATTGCTTATATTTAGCTTGAGTTATATCATATTTAGTTGTTATCATTTCACCGCACGTGCCTAAAATATATATTATTATAATTAGTATCTATAGAAGAAATGTCGATTATCATAATTCATAACAATGGAATACATTTATTCTATTAGAATTAGATAAACTGTATTAAATACTGTTATTGTCATGACTATTACTAAAAAAAAATGTATAGCCAATTTGTCATAAATATTAGGTAGATTGGTTTTATCTGTGGTTCTACGACAATTGAGCGAAATAATATAATATTATAATATAATTGAAATAAATTATTTGAACATACATATAATTATAAAATTAATACATTTAGATTTCATATTTGTCATACTTATTGAATATAGAATTAATACATTTATACTTGTAATGAAAAATTATACGCGATACCTTTTAAATATTAGTGTCAGAATTTTTTAATAATTGTCAACAATATTTTTTAATTTTTCGGCAGAATCATTATATTTTTTTTTATTGGACGAACGAATGCCACTATTAATTTGATGTATAACTGCATATCCACTAAAGTCTGTTGATTTTGAAGGGCTTAGGTATATGAACTTCCAAACTGTTGGATCATTACACGCCCGAATAGACAATTATTGAAGCCTCTATAAACTCAACATAGGTACAACGACAATGACTCAGATAAGTCAAATTATCATAAACGTAATCTTATCGAATCGTTATCGCTATCGTGGACTTTTCGAATCCTAAAATATTTCACTGTAGTTTCACATGGTTAGTACACACGGATATTTTTTCGCTCTTTCTCATTCGCTTTTTTTCTTTCGCTCGATTGTCGGGATACCATTATCTGTATTTATAAAGATATGTTTGTGATGGATGGGATTTAAAATTATTTTGTTTTGGGAAGTGCAAAATTGTACGGTTTACAAATAATCATATTAATATATCTAATCGATAATATTGTAAATTATGTAATAAAATTACTAATTACTATTTACTTATAAATTTTAACTACATGATACAATTAATTTTCTATTTACCCCAATCGGCATCCTTAAAGCATTTAAAAACCACAGTGAATAATTTTGACATTAATTCCTTATCCGCTGTGTCTGCGTCATCAGTAGCCTGAAGTAAACAGAAAAAAATGAATGAGTGAATGAGCAGGCATGGATTCAAAAATGTTTTACGTGAGGATAGCGGCAGGGTGCATAATATCAATAAACTTAAATCTAGGAATTTTGTTAATCCTTTAATCCTATGTTACTGTGTACTTATTAATTATTATTCTTACTCGTTAATAGGTATTTAAAACCATGGGAAGTCGTTCTATTATATATAGTAATAATTAGATGGTGGTGGTGGGGTATATAATTTGTCAGGCAAACGTCAAGTGGGGGCTTTGCTTCCTCAATACCACCTACCATACAAATCTATGTTTTTGTTTTAATACACCACTATATGAACAGTAGAATAATTTATATTGTTCATTTTAAACCAATTTATTTAACAACATATTGTTTTAATACTTAATAAATTATTATTAAATATCAATTAATACTATTTATATACTGATCTAATTTTTGAGTTTTTTTGATAGTTCATCAATTACTTCTTCGGCCTCAAGGCGTTATGTTTTTATGCGCAGCTAACATAGCTAGGGTTGCAATGGTACATTATACTTGAACATAAAAAAAGCTCTGGGGAAGAGTCTATCCTCTTCAAAAAATCAAAACTACACATTGATTCCTCGCCATTGATTATTGAGTAGTAGGTCACTAGATGTATTAAATTTGAATTCTATGACAAATCATTGTATTATAATATATTCGTACATAAACGAAGACCAATTCTGAATTTTAGCTTTTATTTTAAAAAAAGTTTTATCATAGGTATATTTATATTACTATAACTATGAGTAAAATATTAGTTTAAACTAATTTTGGAAAAAAATTCCATGTATCATATTATGATAATTATAATATTATATTATTACTAGCGGTTAACTTATAGGTTAATAAAAAAGGTAAGTTAAAATTATTGAATTATAATAGCATTTTTAAAAATGCCATTGTACCTATAAAATAAAGTGTAAACAATAATATACGTAATGTTGAAAAGTTCGTAAAGTTTGTATTATGAATAATATTTTTAAATGTCAACAAAATGACTAAAATAGTTACAAACTTGAAGTGTTTATAAAAAAATTTGCAAACCTGAACATTTTGTATTTTTATATTGCCGTTCCGTTTTTTTTTTTTGTAGTCTTTCCTAATTATTCAGTGAAATACCTACGTGGAAATTTTTACTTTGACCTCCAAAAATACCTATTAGATTCAATCCTCTATCATTAAAATATTTTTCTACTATAAACAGTGTCTACGTACTATAGCATTAATAAAAAAATAAACACATGACTTAAAAACAATAACGTCGGCGTTATGCAGGGATATGTTGTTACCTATAAATTATCCGCATGACGACATTATTCCACAATCCACATAGATTTATTATTTTGTATTACAAATTGATAAATCCTTTTATATTTAATAGTGGTTACATACATTTTTTTACAGTACCACTTTATTTCCCGTAGATGGTTCAAAATTCAAACCGCAAGACTATTTTAATAATATTTGAAGTATACCATATATTACGTATCTATTAATTATTTTAACCCTTAAATGTATGAATACATATTACACACTCAATCCAATAATTTAGTAAGATTTATATGTACATTATCTATGTTGGTAAATGTAGAGTTTTAAAATTATTAAAATAATTAATTTTAGAATTTAGACAGAAGAACATATGTTGTTGATGAACAATATTTATTTAAAAAATAACCGGGAAACATTGAAATATAGATTTTTTTCCTAAAACGGATCGCTCTCACAAGTACTTAACCATACTTCTAAAGCAATTGCCTGTTGCCTGTAAAATTGTTATTAGTATTTAATATGGCTCTTACTTTTATACACGAATAATTATGGGTTAGTAGGTAATACCTATTTATTTTACTGTACTTATATGGTAATAGCTCTACATGTTATTTATAATTAAAGTAATAGGTTGGCGTTCAAATATAGAACACAAAAATATTCGAATAAAAAAATGTTTACTGACTTGAAATACATAGGCAGGCTAATTTTTTAACGGCGAAGTAATCGTATTAAAGTTTATACTATTCAAATGTGCATATCAAAAAAAAAAAAAAACACAATATTTATATACCTACTAATATACTATACTATAGAAAAATATGCTCTAATGGATAATACTTGCCTTATTGATTGAAAACAAACAACTGAAAAGAACAAAAACTGACACTAACAATGTCTTTTTTATTAACATGTTGAGTTCGATTGTAATAAATCCAGTAAACCAAAAAAATTAATTTATAGTTTTATAATAAATTTTGCTTATACGAGTATTTGAGTACTTTATACTTGATACTTTTTAGGTACTAGTTAGTAGGAAACACAAAGCGCTGTGTCTTATATACCTTTACGACGCCTATTTTTACACATTTATCATTTTATCCTTTATTTCCTAATCTATTTGGACCTTGTAATTTTAACATCCGGTAATTTTATGGTGTAATGTATGTTACTACGGTAAAAAAAATATAATACAACACAAAAATGATAAAATGCATTATTACGCTCAAATCATATTATTTTTTTTATCTACTTTGAAAATCTCGATTTCAATCCCGAGGACGTGTAAAATTCGTTCAACACCAATGGTTCAAATAATTTTTATGAATTCATAATACCTATCTAGCTTCAGATTCTAGTTCTGAAAATAAAAGTTTAAAAAAATGTTATACACCTAAAAATTTTCAACGTTAATCACAACAGACGATAGTAATAATTATAATATAATGACTATATTATTATTGCTGTTGTTCATTTGGCCTTTTATGGCATATATAGGTCCTAATTTTGTGTATAAAATACATATAATATAATGTTTTAAGTGTTTTATACATCATATATCATACATCTCATATACAGTCAACAGTTATACCTTGAAACTATAAAACACATTTTACTGTAAAAATATAAAAAAAACATCTAATTTTATTTTATATTATTTATTGAATTTTACGAGTTGTGTCCAGTAAACAAAACACATTGGCATTACAAAGTTTTTAGAACTCCAACTATTATAAAACAAAGCTAAAGCTGCATTCGTTAAAAATTCATATTCTACGAAAATAATTAAAAATATTGTTATATTATCCTAAAAAAACGACTGAAAATATTATAAATAAGTATAAGTGTTTAAAAATTAGGTAAATAAGAAGATAATGTTAACTGTTGAGTTGGGATATTAATTATAATTAGGTATGTTCTAAATTAGCAAGTCATAACTCGTAAGGTTTTTTCCCATGTCAAGTACAACACATTTTAGACTTAGTGTGGCGATGAATGACAAATGATTTGATTTACAATAATGGGAGTTTCATTTTTGGTATTCTGACTATCATCAGTCATCATATTTTGGAACAGTTAACAATTTAAAATGCTATATGTTAGTATATCTATATATATCAGTTTAAAATGAAAAACATTAAAGTTATACCTATATAGCCCTAGAGGCACGATTTTAGAGGTGCATTTTTAAAAGTTAGGGTTGACAATTTAATTTAAAGATCCTCATAAGTTGTTCATAATGAATCCAAAAAATCTAAAATATATATAAGCAGAATTTTCATTGTAGACATGTGAAGCACAAATTTGAAGAAATTAGATATTTAAACACGAAGAATGAAGTTTTTATAATCATATTGTTGTACCTAGGTAAGTATTTAAAAATATTATTTAAGATTAGGTACTTTAAACTTTTACGTATAGGTACACTTTTTTATATTATATTATACATTATTACACAATGGCATTTTAAAAACAATTATAATAATTTTAACATTTAAGCAGTAGCACATGCCTAAATTTATACCACAAATCAATTCAGTACCTATTTACACCGGTCGGTATATTATATTTATATGTAACATATAAATATATAATATCAATAACAAATGGTATAAATATACCTATATTATTTTCATAATTAAATTCTAATAATATAGCATATGAAATATTTTTGGCAAAAATAAATTCAACTTCACGTATTATCATTTACCACTCAGCCGTAAGTATTGTAATTGATTATAAATACCTACTCAATTATTAATAAATCAATGGTATTATCGAATAGTAAAATTAATTATTATAATAGCAGTATAAATAAATAAATTATGATCTCTCCTTTATTATTAACGTTTTTACAGATCTATTAAGATATATTGATTCAGAGAATTTTTTAATAGGAAGTTGATAAAAGCACTAATTTTATTTTTTTATATAAAAAAAACATGTATTATTTATTTCCAGTTTATCCTTTGGGCTTTGAAGTTAAAATTAATATACTAGGTAATAGTAGTACTAGATACGATGTAGTAAATTTGTTTTTAAACCAAGTTACGATTGAGCATAAGAAAGAGGAAGAAATAATATGACTTATACCTTTTCTTGCTATATGTTAGTTACCAGTTTTTCGATTTTAGTCCCGTTATCTCAACAACTGCCTTTGCCCTAAAGTGTTAAAAATACAAAAATATGCTGTATAAAATTATTAATAAATATAAATCCGATTTGCATCCCACCCCATACCACTTTTTTGAAAAGCTGACTTGAATTACAACTTTTTGTTAAGTATAGTATAATACAGGTATTATGTATTTATTAATTATAATATTATTATCTATAGGTAAATACATATTAACGTACGATTTTTTTTATATGTAATTCGTTATATAACGTTAAACCGTCCTAGAAAAAGTTAAATTTATAGGTATACACATTTTTTAAGTCAGATATCGCTCACTAGCGAAAAAAAAGAGGGAAACCTTAACTAATCTCGTTAGAATTATGTTTAAGGGAACTTTTTTTTACTGCGCATAAGTGCATTCGTAAATAAAAATGGTTAAATATTAGTCTTATGAAAAACATTTTTTAAATTAAATTAAATATACCTATTACCTATCAAGTACATATTCTATCCAACTTAAAAATTAACTGCGAGGTTATGTTGATGATATAATTCCTGTTATCTTACAATTTTATCGAATAGTATAGAATAATTATGATGGTCTATAATTACAAAATTTATTATTTTCATTGTTAGTGCACTATTCAGTTAGACTATTTCGTTATTGATAACAAAAGTAAAATTATATAACCTACCAACGCACAGTTTTTAAACAATTTTAGGAATAACTAAATAGTTTCAAATCACTTATTGTAGAGTTAGGAATGTTAGGATATTTATGCACTAAAGAATGTATGAATATGTGTGCACTTATGCAGTAAAAACCAGCTAAATATGCATAAACAATTTGAAAAATATGCAATAAAAAATAAAGAAATTATTGGACAAAAAATGCAATAAACATATTATAGACAAATTGAAAAAACTGAAAAAAAATAAAGAGAGTTGCATTGAATAATTAAAGCTTGTTTTAATGTTCTGCTTATCCGCTTATTTTCTTTTAATCTTCGTCTGTTTGGAGCTAATACGTTTTTAAACCTATTAAACGAAAAATCTCTATGTAAAAAATTGTATTTGTTTAAATTATTATAAATAAATAATAATAGTTACTTGGAAAAATTTCTCTCCACTTCAACAGACCTAATTGGTGAAAACTTAAAAAAAACGAAATCTACCGCTAGTTAATTCCTCTTCGATCCCTTCAATGATTTCAAGTTCTCCATTAGTTACTTTCAAAATTTGACATACTGTTTTGAATCCACTGTTTTTCTCCAGAATCGTTTTAAATTGACTACATATTTCGTTGCCTATTTGTCCACAGGCTTTGTTAATGTTATCTGTTGTATTATTGACTATCGATATTGCTTCTGACAAAAGCTGCCCGGATGATTCAAGACGAGTTATATTAACCGATAAAAATCCATAGTTCGATTGAATGTATACTAAATTTGCTTCTATAGATGGATCATTCAAAAGCGTGTGACATTTTTCTATAGCTGCAGTATCTTCTGAAACCAGTTTATCAACAACTTTGCATGTACCAGTAAGATGATCTGCATCAGCCGCACCTAACCAAGTTCCCCATCGTGTTATTACAGGTGTTGGAGGAAGTGGCACTGCGGGGGCTTCGTCTTTAAATATTTGCATTCTACTTGGTGCTTTTCAAAATACTGTTTTTGCATTTAATATTAATTCGTCAACTTTTTTAAAACTACCCCGTAATTTCTCAGCAACACGGTGTGCACATGTGCTAAATATGTCACATGTATCATCTTAGAATACAATTTTTATAAAGTTATTGGCTGCTTTTAGTTTTTACCATGTATGGCGCAGCGTCAGTTAGAAATAATAAGACGTTATCGTGAAGTACATCGTTTGGTCATAATAAATTCATTGATTTATCAAATAACTTACTAATAGTTGAAAAGTTAACCCTTTCCAACTGTTCTGAATTTAGCAAAAAAATTTTACAGGGTTCGTTTTTTTGTAGTGTGCCAGCTACTACATTTTCTATATAATGGCCTTCGCAATGCAATCAGTATATTTTGTTTCATCGGTTGAAACCCAAATTTTCTTATCGGTTACATAACGTTGAGTTTTATTCGTCGTTTTTTGATAACACTCTGATAAATAGTTATTGCGCATTGTCGATTCATCCGGTATCTCTTTTTCTGTATACATTGCCAAAAAATCACGAAAAATAGGGTTGTTGACCTTATTTTAATTGTATGTTAGCTGAAGTCAATGCTCTACATAAATCTAAGTTGACTGACGATGTTTTTGTGTTCGATATTAATTGTTGTTTATCATTTTTTTCTTTTTGTTTATTTAATCGAATATTATGTTTAGCGATGTTCATATGCTGCTCAACAGTAAACCGACGTCCACTATACCAACCTTATAACTTCGCATAACTTGAAATAAAGGATTGAACCATCGGTAGTTAAAACGTGTTCTCCAAATTTTTTTACAAAACCTCTTAGTCGGTTAGAACAAAAGCTTTTAACTTCCAGCATAACTGAGTGATTTAATAAATCAAGAAGGTACCTGCACGGAAAAACACGAAACGAGCAATATACGGTACTCTATATCGGTCGTAGACTAGACAGAAACTAATTATATAAATTATTAAACGTTCTGTTAAAATGTCTGATAAAATTGTAATGACTTGCAGTTTTAAGATAAGTTTTGACTATGACAATTGACGAGGGTTATCGAAAATTCTATTTAAGTAAGTATAACCACATTGAACTCTCAACAATAAATAAGTGATAATTTGTGAAACACAGATAACCAAACTTCTATAAGATTCAGTTTATAAAATATAAAATGACGGAATTTTTCAGCATTTTGCATAGAAAACTTATTGTTATAACTTATAAGTTATAACAGTCTTCTAGGGAATCTGATAGTTATAACCGCACTTCGTTATATCCGGATCATAAAAAGTAACGTAATTAAAAAAAAAATGTATTTTCTAAACAAACTGTTTACTGTTTAATTTTATTTCAGATTACATATTTTAAGATTCAAGGTATTTATAATTTTTGATAAAAGTACATATTATACATAGTTTATGTTTATGATTTTTTTGAAAAATGATCTATTATAGTGGTTTGTTTATAATTTGAATAAGACTTTTTAACAAAATTAGAAATATTGTTTTATGCCATTAATAATACTTGTGGCGTATTTATATCTTTCATCATCATTTGCATTCAAAATAGACTTGACAATTTCTTCTTCATTGGGTTCTTCGTTGGTCAAAAGAGCATCGTCAACCTCCACAAAACTTAGTAAGTTTTCTTCAGAAAAGCACTCTGTGTCCAAATTATTGTCACTTACTATTTCTGTGTCGTCGTTTACTGAAGCCTTGAATCCATCGTGGTGGAAATAGTTTCTTATTGTAGTGGTAGAAACATCATTCCGTCTATCCGAGATCATTGAAATTGCATCTAATACTGAAATTTTAATATCTTTTTCCTGTTCCTCTTGATTTTGAGCACTAATTTTTTCCGAAATTTTACTTTTAATGCTTTGATAATACCTTGATCCATAGGTTGTAAAACAGAGGTCGTGTTTGGAGGGAGAAAAACCAACTTTATGCATATCATTTTGAGCAAGAGGATGAGCCAGACAATTATCTACAGTCATTAGGATATGCCGTTTTACCTTTGCCAGTTGTTTATCCCATTCTTTTAACCAGTCGGAAAATATGTCACCGGTCATCCATGCTTTTTTATTGCTTTTGTAGTCGACTGTCAAGTTTTTGAAATTTTTAAAATATCTCGGAGTCTTGGATTTTCCAATTAATAATAGTTTTTTTTTTGTAAGAACTAGTCATATTAAAGGCTATACAAGTGAGTCACTCTTTATATAATTTACCACCACTGCATGTTCCCCCTAAAACGCAATGATTGAGGCGGTGTTAGATTATAAAACTATCCGGTTTCATCAGCGTAATAAACGTCACAATCTGCATAGTTTTTACGCAAATTAGGCAAAACATATGTTCTATCCAATTTTCCGCAACACCCACAAGAACGCTTAACTATTATTAATCGCTATAGGTGGTTATAAAAACCAATTTTCGTTTTAAAATAACATCGCTATATCCGGATTATCGTTATAAGTTTATAGCCGATATCGTTATATTCGAATAAAACTACTATACATCACACATAAAAGTATAAAACCACACATAAAAGTATAAACCCAACCAAATACATTGCTTGGAATCGTTTTACCCAGAGTATCGTTATGTACAGCATCGTTATAAGCGAATGTTACTGTACTCCAAATATACCTAGATCATTAATTTTGTTATGTACTTTCAATAGTATTAGGGTATTATATCTTTTACTAACTTTTTGATTATTTTTTAAGTAAAAGAGAATTTAATTTTGTTTTTAATTTCTAATGTAATGCCAACCTATACAAATGACCCCTTCCCATTTTTTTCTTTAATTTTTTTGATTTTTCATAAACATTTTTAAATCATTGAGCAGCTTTTTATGGGGTGACTCTTATTAATCACTCGTTACTAAGCTCATTATTGTAAATAATGCATTAGGTTTAAGAATTTGGAGATTTTAGACTGCAGCCTTCAGTATATGCACATAATACATATACAGCCATGCACGTAGGTACTGACGTAGCACTTTCGTTTAAAATTTTGAGACGTGTTGAGAAAACTAGGTAAATAATTTAAAACACTTTTATTATTATTTTTAATAAAATACCTAGAATATTATATTTCAAACAAGTCTACACTTCAAAATAATTACGCACTCAGTCGTAAGCTTACTATGTCTTCGACTAATGCTGATTATCTTCTAAATAATTGCCTGGTGATCAAACCGTATTTATACGGGTTCCAACAATGACGTATGGTGGAAAAATTGAGGTGTTGGCCTATATTCTAATATTACTTCCAGTTACTATCGAATTTGCATTATTATGCGAATAGGTAAAATGGCTTATTGTTTTCACCTTTGGTCTAGCTACCTGTTATTTAGGTTTTCCACGTACTCCAAGCATTGATTATTAATATCTACATTACATAATACATCATACATTTTAATTAATGTATAATTTATTATATACATCGTATTGAAATTCATAAAATAACTATATGGAGTTTTGGGTTTACAACACTACGTACTGTTTATAATTAATTCTGTTCACATATATCTCACACTCTATATTTTTTATATTTATTTTATTTTATGATTTTTGGTTAGTACAAATACATATAGATAATCAACTGTGGCAGTTAATTCATCATTTGATTGAACGAATTTCAATATTTATATGATGCATAATAATTAATAGATACCTAATATATCTTTATTCATTTATAGGCTTATATAGCATTAACATGTAATATAAGTATTATACACTGTAATAATATATTAATAACTAAATTTAATTATTTAATGTAAGTCTGCAGCCAACAATCAATGAATGTTGCCTAAGTATACGAAGTCATGGCATTATTGATTGCAGATGTGGACTGAATTACAGCGGCATGTATCGCACGATATATCAGACATAATAATTACTGTCTTTTTATTTAAAAAAAAATCGATTATTTTGTCTATTTTGGCGGACGTTCAACTTTTTGGCCAAACGATCCTTTGGATCCACGGAACATAATAGGACACTCTGGTGTAGACGCCGGGCGTGTCCCTATTTCCGCAATATTTCCCGAACGACGTTATACCGATTTGACTAGACATACATGCATAGTTGGGGTGGTTTACTTGCAGAGGGCCGCCAGAATCGCCCTGTGATGAAATTTATGAGTTACATATTATATTTTATTATAAAATATGTATAGCTTATGTAAGCTGTAGTAAGGAAAACCTCGAGTCAGTCATCGTTCACCGATTATGCTTGCCTATTACGTTTGCTCACCGTACACGTGTCGCTTCCATTCCTGATGTCGCCCGCACATATCATGCTGTCTTCCATTATCCCGAAGTTTATTCTCGGATTGGAACTCTGAGGATAGCTATACTTACAATGGCCAATTGGTATCGGAGACAGATCCACTTTTAACAGGTCGGGACTAATCGGACCATCTGCACAGACGACATAGCGATTGAAAGTTCCATATTATTATATGGGCAAACATTTTGGGGCGGTCCGGAAAACTCTCCGTCAAATCCGGCTCTGCAGCAGGCACCGTGGCACTTTTGCCACAGAATATATTAAATCGCCACGCCACCACATAGATGTGAGCATCATAAGTCTAGAGGCGGCTTTGTTAAATATATAGTTACACCCAGACAGCCTTAATAATAAATTATAATATTAATAATAATTATTAAGGCTTTCTAGTTACACCGTTACACATGAAGTAGAAATCTGGCCATACAGGGAGATTTTTTTAAGCATTCTCACCCTATTTTAACACTTAGTTTTGCATATAATTCTAATTTTTGGAATTTTAAATACGCTTGAAGACCATATTTTCGAATATTTGAGTTTTATTGTACTCTTAAGGACGATTCCTTATTAGAAAATATGGTCTTAAGACTTTAGGTAAACTTAAAATTTTCAAAATCAGTATTTGAATAAATGTACTATTAAAGAGAAAAATAGGGATAAGCATGCTTAAAATATCACCTTGTATAGTACCTATAGGTATCTAGAAATTGAACGTCTATTTTCTGGGATTTGTTCATAAATACTAGCACTGTAGCAGGTTTGAAAAAAATTTTAATCGTAGACATTATGCTAGAACTATTATAGTTAAAAGCAGCGGTCTGTGTGCTATACTGCTCTATGTCTATTTATTTTGAACGGTAAAGGAAGACATGAATTATTTGGGATGAGCGTAAGTATGTATTATTCAATAATGAACAAACCTAAAAAATCTAGTATATCAGCCCTCCCCGCTGGGGAACAATAGGTATAAGTAGTATAAAAATTAATACTCACTGGTCGAGGTCCGACCCCAGCCAGTGGCCGTGGCCATCTTGAAGTTTAACTTTTGGACCGTGTTCAGGCACACGGGTCTCACGTGCGCCGAAAACTTGACTTCTTCCTCTAAACGGAACAGTGCTATGTCATTGTACACGTAAGTCGAATTGTAGTTTGGGTGCACCACTCGCTCTACGATTTTGTAGTCGACCGGGCTGGCGTCGTCGGGTTCCGAATAAATGTTCAAATCGCCCAATCGTGCCCAGCTCACCGTTCGTCTTCGCGGAGGGACGTTTTTAAATATGTTTGTATTTAAAGCGTCAAGAGGTCTCGCTTAAATTGTACTTGGTACTCACCCAGAATTAATGGTGCAGTGCGCCGCACTCAGGATCCACCTGTTGCTTATCAACGAACCTCCGCAGCCCCACGACTTCTGCTCATCCGCAATGTCCCCGTAACCTAATAGTGCCTGCGAGAGGCAAAGTTTCAATATCGGTCAATTTTCGTCAAGATTTTTTTTCTGGCTTCTAATACCTATGGCACAACATAATTATCATACCATGTGCGGAAATTCCTTTGGCTTGGCCTTAACGCCGCCGACGATCAACGTCAACACGTTGTAGCAGTTTAGAGTTTTCGACGGCGGTTCACCGCCAGGCGAGGGTTGTCGCACGTTCACGTACACAAGTTCCGAGTACTGGCGACACACTGCACAGCGGTCACGAGAAACAGATTATGATTTATGGAAAGCCGTTTAAGTACGAATTTCATGCGATACCGATACGTACTTTCAGTGGCAGAGTATGATGATGTAACATTGGTGGTGCTTAAGGCCGGCTTGAAATTTGTTGTGTTGATTGCTGCTGTGGGCGAACAACAGACAATTGGCTTGTTTTTTGTAAACGAGCATATCTGCGGAAAACTCTGACCTCGAATTTGCTGTTCTAACGACGAACAATTTTCTGGTTGTTTGCAGATATGATTTATAGAATTGCCCTTGCCTAACTGACATACATCACCTATATAGTATAAAAGCATAAACAATTTTGTATGAACTAAGTATCCGTTATACGTATGGGTATCACGTCGTATGTGCAAGTAAGCACCAGTATGAATGTTATACTTAATACATTTTCAAAAAATTGATTTTCTGTGACTTAGATTTATACCTTTTGCATTAAAACTTAAATTTATATAAAATTAATAAGTAAGGTCAAATGATATGATAACAAAGAATGTAATTATTAAGTTTAAGGTGATTTACAATGATTAAGTGTTTATTTATCACCTTAATAAATTGTTTAATAGGTACCGATTTGCCTATTATAATATGACAGTAAACTACAATTGCTTTATTAGTTACAATCAGTTAATATTTATAATTCTATAGTGCATTGTTAATTTAACTAAAAACCAATTAATTAAAATGTTAACTAAAGTTCACAGAAACAATGAAAAAATAGAAAAATCCATAGTCGGATAAGTCAAACTAAAATTGACGTAGATGATTTTATACAACTTGAGTATTGAATATTTTAATCATTATCTTTTTAACTCTTAAACATTTTTGTTTCATCTATATTATTTAAAATTGATTAATTATTTAAATATAAACATTTTAAACTCACCTTCATACAAATTTAGTATATTTGCTTTATGTCCAGAAATTAATAGACATATTATTAAAGGTAATACGATTTTAAAGTACAAAGAATATTTAATTTTAAAATACATATTTTTGTATTGTCGTTGTTATTGTAACGAACTGATGTGGCTATGATAATACGAACAAGCAAAACATTTGACTTGTTTATCCCACCACATTTGTATATTGTAAAAGATATTGGTAAGATATTTTATAATGTATATTATGTTTATATACATTATATATATGACAGTACCAAGGTTAAAAATTAAAAATAACATTAAGTATTTAATTCAAACCAAACAGGTTATTAATTTTGAGATAAAAAAAAATACCTCTCGCTTCAGGATAAATAAACATGAATTTGTAGTGTAAATGTGTAATGTGTTGCAAGTCCTAATTAAAACTATATAATATTATGATCTTCAGAATCGGGAATCTTATAAAAACCTATCTGAATGGTTTCAAATTAATCGATTTTGGATCCTCCTCAACATAACGATGCGGGTTAGTGAACCGTGATTTGGCAAACTATAATAAGCTTACATTTCTTTTAAATGATGCCATCATACTCATAGTATTATGTAGGTATAAATGGTAAAGTTGGTAAACGGACAATGGTAAATGGTAAGTCATTAAAGTCACGGCAAAATTTTGCAATCATTAGTTCATTTGTCTAATATAGAATTAATTTAGGTTTCGGATTTCAATGTCTAAAAACCATCAACCAACAATAAAAACCATATATGCATTTATGACCTAAAAACCCCCAAAAATACTCCTCTCTCAAGTAAGTACCACTTCATATCCACATATGACGTTTAGATTTATATACAGAACGAATAAACAGTTTCTGCTTATTACTCGTAATAAATATAAGTAAGTATTTAACTGACAAACAAAGTTACTAATAATTTGCTATCGTACTTTGCATCATTTAGCACCACGTATGAATTCGAATTAGATAGCATCATAGGTTTGTGATTTTATAGACTGTTTATTACAATGGCTGAATTTCAGTGATTTATTACATTTTCATAAGTAATGGCAATTAATAATGCTGGAATATAACACGATACAGTTTATTCTACATACATATACCAGATACCTATGCACAATGCAGTTATACCTGTGCATCAATGATATTTCGTTTGCAAACTAGAGTTCAATGCTTTATGTATTTTTACAATAACATGAAAATAACACGCATTTAAAAATAAAATAAGATTAGTGCAGACGTGTGAGTAGAAAACAGGTTTAAAAAAAAAATTAACATTAAATACTCATTATTCTTGTTGGGTTTTTCAAAACATAAATTTCATTTATTTTAAATATTTAGTGGGATGAGAACTTGAGTAGGTAGAAAACTATTTTTGTCCAGAGTTGTTCTAGGGACAGCTCTCATCAATAATGAGTTAGTATTCACATTAGAGTATATTTTTTAATTTCTATAAAAGTTTTTAAATTTTAACATCGGACATTGCTGTATCCATTCTATTATCTGTTACACATATATTTATAATAGACTATGGTTAAGTTTGTTATGAGTTAAAAATTATTTTTAGTTTTTACAGACTTCTTCTTAAAGGCATACTTGCAGGACTAACTTATAGGTTATAACTTTGGAAGTAGTGTCACTGGACACTCTCTTCCCTCAAGATTTTCATGTCCTGTAATATTGTACTCATCATATTTACTTATTATATAAATTGTATATAGATTGTAAATTTTCTTAAATAATAAAAAAAAAAAACTATGAGTGACTCTATTTGGTTAAAATTGCGGGGGGGGGAGTGACTTTGTCATCTCCCAAAGCATTCCAAGTCTCTTTTAAAACAATTTGATGATTTCAATAAAAATTGCGTCCAATAAATATTTTCCACAGTATCTAATGATGTAAAGTAGGACAGAATACTTCTTGGTAAAATTGTTTTTGACTCAAAAATGTACATAAATATGATACAATTTTTTCTAAAAACCAAAAACCTACTCCGATCATAGGAATAACGAAAGTCATTGTATATTTGTATGGCACTGCAAATATATTTATATTATAATATCTGACTACATATAGTATGGAGATGAAAAATGAGCCACGATTGTACCGCCCCCGGTGGCGTTTTTTCAGAGACATTTATAGTAGTCGCCACTATAGTAAAACGCCACTGTGGGTGGTACAACCGTGGTTCACTTTTCACATCGCGTTCTATAGAAATGTTGTACTAATATGTTAAATGCTGCAATAAATAGTGGTTGGTGTTTGTAGCGGTACAGGTATTATACTGAGAGCGGGTAGGTTACTATATAAATGTGGGAACCCAAAATTGTGGCAAAGCGATTGGTATCATCTATGTGTACATTTTTGTGAAGCTATTCTTTGGTATAATATACAGGGTGATCCAACAAGTATGCCCACCTCCTTTTTTTCTTTAATAATAAAGTTTTTCAAAATCTGATTTTTGGAATCTTTAAATATACTCAAAGACCATATTTTCATATTCTTGAGGTTTTCGTAACACTTAAGGAATGTCCCGTGGCGATACAAACTTTTGTTTTTCAAATGTTAATCCCACTTTTTTACTGTAAATTATTTACATGATACTGATAATTTTTTTGAGTATTTTGATGTATTGAAATCAAAATTCAAACGAGTAGTTTTCTAGTTATTACTTATTACACATTTTGTGCTAAAGATAATATAGTTTATAATAGAGAAGACGGATATGCTTTTACAATATACGTTGTTATCTATAATCAGCTATACCAGTGGTTCTCAATCTTTTTAATACCACGATCAAAATTTCCCCCGAAAAATCTTTCACGACCCACATTGTTTCACTTTTCAAAAATTAGTGAAAAGCAAAATTTGTATTATATAAATATGTTTATATGTATAAATTTGTATTAGGTATTTAGTATTTTATAGGTTTATAATTAATATGAATAAAAATATAGTTAATATAGTTAAAATGTAATTTTTATAATGAGGTACCTAACATACATTTTTTTTAAATCTATATAATTCAAAAAAATGTTAGCGACCCACCAAAAATTGACTGACGGCCCACCAGTGGGTCGCGACCCACACTTTGAAAAACGCTGGTCTGTACACATAATATAAAATAATACGTCATTTTATATTTATTTAGTCAAACACTTAGGTAAATAGCAAGTAAAATCCTTCTTGATTTATTTAGTTATTTTTCTTATTCCATGTGTAGAACTGTATAAGCATATCCCTATTATGGACTATTATCCTTAGTACAAATTGTCCAATAACTAGGAAACCACTCGTTCGAATTTTGATTTCGATACATCAAAATTCCCAAAAGAATTATTTGCTAAATAATTTGAAGAAAAAAGTGGGGTTCTCATTTGAAAAACAAAGGTTCATATCGCCACAGGACATTCCTTACGTGGCAAAAAAAATCTCAAGTATATGGAAATATGGTCTTTGAGTATATTTAAAGATTCCAAAAATCAGATTTTGAAAAACTTCATTATTAAAGAAAAAAAGGGGGGTAAGGATACTCGTTGGATCCACCCTGTATATTGGTTCCATTAAGCATAATATATTATATAAGTTAATTTTAATGTAAACGTATTATTACTTTTCACTAGATTTATTTTTCATCAAATGGTTTTCAGAACGGTATCTACCTATATTAAAATAAAATGATTTTATTATTTTTGCATATTATTTCTTTGAATTATTTTCAATGAAAAATCAATTAATTTCGGTTAAATTATAAGTTATGACGTATAAAAAATAAAATTATGATAAAACAAAAAATAAAGTATAATTTTGTGTTGAATTATACTAAAAGAAAAATAACATATCAAAATTATAGACCCAAATTTAATCACTGGTGCATTATGAACCTGCCACCTGTTGCAATTGGTCACTCAAAATGAATCTCCCCACTATTATGTGACATTTCCACTTTTATCGTTTGATATTAACACAGCGGCTTTATGTGGGCTGTTAGCTCTATAGATTAAGATTATCCGATGACTATCTTAGTCCATCAGTCCATGTCTAGTTCATTGTCAACTCTTATCTTAATAAAAAATAAAGACATAAATTAAATGTAAAAAAACCTATAAATCATTGATAAAATTCAAAAAAATATATTAAAATTAGATATATTTGAAATCGAATAATATTAGGCAGTATTAAAATCTATACATTCATTTTATAAAAACGTACAAACACATTCAGACTAAGTCGACCACTCAGGTATAATTATTTCTACGAGAAATGAAATTGTGGCTGCCAAAATATTTAAGATAAACAATAGATATTTTCGAATCAAGTATATTAATGTTGATATCACATGCTGCAACTTGTCGCGTATTATAATTATTAATTACTATCTGATTGTCTAAAGAAGCATTTAAAGGTTTAAAAACGGGTCAAAAAGATCAATTTTTGGAGATCTATTTGACTATTTATTCTAACAATAATAGCTGGTGTATCTTCTACATGACTACTTCAATAGATATTTAAATTGAGTTACATTTAGTTATTACTTATAACTTTATGGGAAATATTGCCAAATCATCAATATTACCATAATTATTACACATATTTAGAGCAAAAATAGTCGTATTATTATTATCGAGTATCTATATCATAATTTTTCACATTATTTATATAATTATTTGACAATAAAGTAAGTTATACCCAATCTGAAGTTCACCCTAATTGTTTGATTTATCTATTTATCTATATTGTTATGTGTGTACAACACATTATGAGAAATTCCCTATACTCAAAGACACTATAAATATGCAATAAATCATTCTCCGTTAGAACTCATACCTTCCACAGCGCAATAGTTTGAAATACTCAGTAATATTTCAATGTGATTTTAAATTTGCAGACTGGCATTTATTTGTGCCATTGGTACAGTTTGGGGAAGTTGTATCCATGTCTCTTCAAATCACCATAACTTGGGCGTCCTGGATAGGCAATTTAGATACACCAATTATATGACGAAACATATTTCCGACATCGCTCAGAAAATAACTTCGGAGTTGATATAACTGTCCACGGAAAATAGCCGGTAAAAATCGAATACTATAATAATAAATTAATAAATAATAAGAAAATATTCGCGACATCACGATAGTTATGACTAACGAACAAGCCTAGGCAAGTTAATGATAATTTTTAACTGAGTTGAGTTAAATTGATAGAAAACATTTTAAAAAGTTTAAAGTTAATAGTTATCCTAATGTGATTTTAAACTCAGTTAAGCTATATAAGTTATTTGAAAACTTAAAACTAACTTTATTTTTAAATATATAAGCAGCTAGTTATATGGTTCAAAATAATAAAAAGTAAATGTTTATGCAATATATATCATCAATAATAATTGTATTATATTTATTATTTAATTATTTATAAATTAACGAAATTGGATTTGATTAAAAGTAACTCGTTATTTATTAAGTTTATATCAATAACAATCAGTTGAATTTAAAAGTAAATTAATGAAAAAGAAATATTTTAAAAAGTTCAGTTAAAAATTTAAACCAACTTCAACTTTTTAACTTGTTTATGCCCCAGCTTGCTTATGAAAAATATGAACGATCAGTGGTCAAAGTGGCTCAAAATATGTGGAGGGATGGAAAATATGAATTATAAAAATTGGAGGAATGCCATTCCACCATATCCCCCCCCCCACTTCGACCACTGTGAACGATAAATAAATGTGCAATCTATGTTAAACAACCTTAGTTTATTGAAATTAAACTTTCCTAAAATAAGGATTTCTAACTATCTTTTAGTCATTCAAATTCTGACATGTTCGGGAAAATGTTTTATAATTTGCTTGGTCATCAAGAATATAAAGGGTCATGTAATAAGTATGTTTGGATAACAAAAAATTAAAAGATTGTGATATGTTTAGGCACTGGATTAAAATGTATGTTATTTACATTCAATTTTTTTTTTATCACTAGTAAACTATGCTGACACGGATAACTGTAGAATTTTTTTTTTCAAATCATATTCTATGACTAAATGCTCGATTTGTATGATAGGATGCACGTTCTATCAAAAAATAAATAAAATCAAGTTAATAGTGATGGATTTATAATCTATTACATTATATGATTGTAAACAAACTTTGTACAAGATGTTCACGTAGTGTACTCACTGGTTTATAAATAACTTACATTAAATCTATGGAGAGGGGAGCAGTAGAACAGGGGTCTGTTTTAAACCTATATACTACTGGTGATTGAAAATATTGATATAATTGGGATTTTAAAAGCATCAATAATGATATCCAAAAGTTGGACTTACTCAAGAAAAAGCCTAACCATTTAAAATAGATTAGTGGAAGTTAGTAATGTAGAATATAGTTGTAGGTGCAATATAAAATAATTTTCTTTTTAAATACTATTTTATTTGGTTAAATTGTATAAATTAATTTCATCATCAGTTATTTGAAAATGCTATTTCTTCGATCCATGAAATGTATTTGGACACTCTAGTATAAATTCCAGGGGTATCCTTGTCAGCACAAAATTTCCCGAATGATGTAATCCCATATTGTGTATACATATCAGGGAAATCGACATTTTTTATTTGAAGTGGCCCTCCCGAATCACCCTACAATAATTTTGATGTTATTTAATCAGTTAAGTTTATACAAAGCATATTACAACTTTCCTAGTTCATACCGAGCAAGTGTCTTTTTCACCATCAAACGAACCAGCACAAATCATCCTGTCTGGTAGTATGCCAAATTGTAATTGACGAGTATTTGAAATATAACTTTCATTGCACTGATTTGTCGGAAAAATATCCAAATCTACTTTCAACAAATTGTCGCTGGCTGGGCCGGCTTAAAATTGAAATGAAAAAAATTAAAATGTTAACTTTTTACCTACTATTTTCGAGATTACTGGCTACTGGTATTTTTTTAGATAATTTTTAAAACCAACCCGTTGAAATTCGTCCCCAACCAGTAGCTATTTGTTTTAATGGTGTTAAAGATGGATCCGATTCCGTGTTAAGGCAAATCGGTCGCACATCTTCGGAAAATACGACGTCCCTTTCCAAACGAAATAGAGCTATATCGTTGTATAGCGAAGGTGGATTATACTCGGGATGTATTACATGCTGCACTATTCGATAGTCTTTGGGCTGAACTGCGTTGTCTTCATTAACGACTCTTTCTAAAACTCCGAGGCGAGCCCAGCGAGATTTAATCCTTAAAATCAAATGAAATGTATTTCCATGATAAATAAACAACATATAGAGATAGCATACACTGTTGTAATTAAGTTACTCAACTAGTATTTAATTTTTTTCATCATATTTACCCAGAACTTTCTAGACAGTGAGCTGCAGTCAATATCCACCTTTCGCTTATCAACGAACCTCCGCATTTCCAATCGTCCCCATTTGTCGTGGTGTCACCATAACCTAATAGCGCCTATAGTTATACATTTACAAAAAATAAAAATTATAATATACCATCTTGACTTTGAGGCTTGAGTATGTTCATGATTCAATGTTACCATGTGAGGAAACTCTTGTTTTACTGCCTCTATACCTCCTACTGCTGCAGGATAAAATACACCTTCCTCGAGTTTGGGTCGTTTATTTATTCTACTGTATTGATAACATTCTGCAAATTTATTTATTCATAGTAAAATTATTTCAAAAGGTATGATTAGGTGTATGCTTCAGTAAATACTCAGAATAAGTTACAGGATTAAACTCGTTATTCTTAGTTTAAATATCAAATTTGGACTTCAAAGTCGATTTAAAAAAAGACTGTGTTTTTATAATTATTCTTATATTTTTGGATTCAATAAGAAAAAACAAGCCGCACCTGAACTACTTATGAAAAACGTTGTATAATATTGTCAGTTCTATCTTCTACAACATAATAAAGTTTATAATGATTTTGATTTTTGATGAATTAATATAGCATGAATAAAAAAAGAAAATATCGTTCCTACAAATTTTTAAAGTTTCTAAAATGTTATAAAAACAACAACTTATGTGTGATCTTTTATTAAATGTTTAAGCTGTAAGACTGGGCTAAAATGTTAAGAGTACATTTGAATGTAATAACAAATAATTCTATAAGAATCAAAAGGAAAAACGATTCTAAGTGAAGATTTTGCATCGTGTGTCATCCTATAGTTCTAGGAATATTTATAATTTATTTATATGACTAATATAAATTTTATTTTTATATTAATATTATGGTTGAAACTAATTATTTACAATTGCATACATAATAATATTATTATTTATCAATTTTATTGTTATTAACTTGTAAGCAGATAATCTGATAATATTGGAATAAAACTAATAATGACATTGAAATGTTTCAAGTTTTTTATAATTAATGTTTATTCAACCACAATAAAATAATTAAAACCTACTTCGGAGAAATGTGAAGTTTTAATATTTAATGTGTTTAACATTTTAACTTCAAACATTCATAAAAATTGTATATCTATGATGGTTTTAGGTTAATTTTTTTTTTAAATTTATGTGTGGGTATACTAATTACTTAATATAAATAATGTTGTATAGATGCATGAAATATTCAAGAATTAGATGGTAAACAAAAATTAAGGCTTCATACTTTCAATAAAAAAATAATAAAAAAAAATTCCAAAATTTCTTATTGGAAAAATATTTATGCTATTCTAAATATTTCATGACATTTTCAAGTTTCTAATAAGAAACTAAAAGTCCATTTTTTTAACGAAAATAAAAACAATGATTATTTTTTTTTGTTCTTAACGTTTAACTGATTTAGATATTGATTTTTATATGTATATCGTATATACAATATACTATATAACATAAACCTATTATTATAAATATATAACATTAATTTGATACTGCGTGTTCATACTTTCATCAGCAGATATTGGATTATTATTTTTAACTTCTGGTATTTCAATTAACTCTTTGTAATTCGTTACTGGACAGCAAACTATCGGTTGTAAACCAACGAACTTACATATATCAAGATAATTACGAGTTTTAAGACTTTGTTTAAAAGCTTTGCAGTGTGTTGTACTCGTGCACACATATTCTTGATCAGGTCTTAAGGCTTTCCGACATATCTGACCTAAAAAAATATTCGTTTAAGCTAAAATATAAGATAAAATAATTTAAAATAAAAATATTTACTATTAGTTATTTTTTCTTAATTCCAAAATAATGCATTACATTTTTTTAAAACTAATTTTAGATTCTGATTGGAACGATAAATTTATTGATTTAACTATGATGTATAGCTCGTTTTTTTTATTGTTTCTGTCAGTCATCACTTTTTGGGGTTCGAGTAAATCTTTCGATTTTTTACTTTGGTATCTTTTCTGGTTGGAAACTAAGTACTAGGTACTTAATTAAATTTTCGAGATTTTAATGAATTTTGGCAAAATTTAACTTTATTGGCTTATAAAAAAAAAATTATCTTTGATATTTTTTAATTTATATTACAACAACCCACGAAGTTTACGTAGAATTTTTAAGTTTCTTGACTAAAAGAAAACATTTGATTGACATTTATTGAACAAAAAATTTTAAAAAGTACAAAATAAGAAACTTGTTCGATGAGAATTCGTTAATTTATGGATGAATGTCCGATGTCAAAAAAATATGAATTTTCAAACTCTCATAAAAATTATTGTGGATTTAAATTCACCTTTTTTTGTTTAATTCCACTAACAGTATCTTATTAGGGACCTTGTATTACATTTTCAATTTTTTTAACTGAGCTTAAAATTGAATGAAAAAAAACTATAAGAATCGACATTTTCTTATGCCTAAAAATAATCAATATATTAAACATTATGATCTATAGAAAATGCTAATATAAACTCAGTGACATTTTCATGCATCTAAGGTTATTTTTTTTTTGGAGTTCCGCCAAAACACAAAATTGAATTTGTGATGAAATTGGTTTTTTGTGAAAATCTATGTTATTCTAATGTTTTGGGAGGTTTCCCGATGCTTTTGGAAACGACTGGAAATTGTTTACTTTCGACCCTTCAAAGCAACAACTATATTTACTATCCAGTATCCTACCAAAAAAGATAAATTAAAAAGTCGAAGCACTTTTACCGCTCAAAAATATGATGACAGACACAACAAAAAATGTTTTTTAAAAACTAACTCACATTTTTATAAAATCAATACATTCATCGCTGATCGCTCCACTCTGAATCTAAACATTTTTGATCAATTGCTTGTTACATGTAAAATATAACACGTAAAATAACGTGCGTGAAGTTGGCCCCCCCACCATGACCGATTTTTTTGAAAATTATGTACTCATTTTGCAAAT